CGTCGATGCAGGCAGTTCAATGGGTTGAGCGGATGCAGAGCTCCGATGGCTCAACGTGCGCTTTCGAAGGCGCTCAATTATGGAGGGCATGTCGTCTGCATGAAATCGGAACTTGAGCGATGGTCGTTTCGAGATTATTGGGTGCTTACAGTCCCTCGGTCGACACAAGCTGCGTAGCTCTCGTGAAAGGCGTGAAGGTCGTGAAAGTCGTGAGCAAAACGAACTCGCAGCTAGGTCTGCACATAGCAGATACCAGCAGATACCACTGCGTGGCAAGCGAGAGAAGCACTTTCACTCATCAGAGGACGGACCGCCTCGCGCACAGGGCGACCTATATCGGGGAGGAACATGTTCCCATAGACAACTCTTCATGACAGGTTCACGGCATGCGGTGTAGGGGCGCTATATTTGACCGTCAAGTAGCATATATCCATGTGTGTGGCAGCCAGTGGTGGTGGTTCCGATTCTTCCAAAGAATCGGTTATCAACGAGTAGAGGTTGCAGGGGTCACGTGCGTTTTGTGCACCATACTCCCACGGTGTTTCGCTCACTTCGCCGACGGCGGTTGATGCGTATCAGCAAGTACCACCACATACGAGATGAACAAGGGCACAAATAGATGACCTGGATACCCCATGATACATAAGTATTCTCACAGACCTAATCTGTAGCCGCATTGGCAAATACTGGCCACTGACTACCATTAGGTTTCATGGCCAGACATCCAACGGTCTGCCGCCTCGGTGGCGCCGCCCGCTCTACCATATAACGTTCAGTATGCACTGCACGATGCTGCTCAACCGTAAGCAGAAGAATCGGACTCCGAGGCGGCGCCGCCCGCCTCTTTAAGACACATTCATGATGGTTCAAGACGAAGAGACGAAAGCGCAGGATTCCAGAGGACTCCGACGTCGTGCACCAATTACCGTATCCGGAACGTCCGGGCCGCCCGCGTCAGCCACCTGCCCCCGCTAGCGCCCAGGTCCAGGGACTGAGTGGTCACAGACTGTCACGCCGTCACAGGCGGTGGGCTTCGCCGGGTCACGCATACCAAGGCGCACCGCCGCCGGCGAGCGCGCGGTCGCCTCTGGTCGCCATCCACGTCCACGTCCACCAACTACCAGCTCGCCGCTCGCCATGGATCGTCTCGAGTCTCTAGGCAATGCGCTCTCGCAAATTACCATGTACGACATAAAGTCTATGGTCAATCAGGTATGCGGTAGCGCTGGGTTCTCGCTAGTGTAAGGTACTCATCGCGCGTAGGCCAAGAATGTCGTGTTCAACGTGAGTGAAATGGAAGGCAAAGTTCGGGAGGCGACAAACGACGAACCATGGTGAGTCGACGCCGCGTGATTTGTCATGTGGAGAGCAGTTCATTGAAGTTGCCCAGGGGCGCGAGTTCCACGTTGATGCAGGAGATTGCTCAAGGGTGTGTTTCATGTTGTTCCTTGTAATGCGCAGTACACTTATCACAGTCCACAGAACTTTCAACTTGTATGGCTAGCCTCCTATAGATGGCGTGCTCTATCTCACTGATTTTCCCTAGCCAAAACTTCAATGAGATCATGCCCGCTATCTACTCTCGCTTCATGGAGAAGGAAGCACGCCAGTGGAGACAGATTTACAAGGTCAGCATCGCTCACATAGACCTCCCGTTCACGAGAACTCACTATACCTCTTAGGCGTTGCAATTGTTGGAGTACCTGATCAAGAACGGGAGCGAGCGCGTTGTCGACGACGCCCGTTCTCACATTGCCACGATCAAGATGCTCAGGAACTTCTACTATGTTGACGAGAAAGGGAAGGACCAAGGAATCAATGGTACGGCGGACCCCAGCTAGTGGGCGCGTTCAGTACTAAACCCAGTTCCAGTACGCAACCGATCAAAGGAGCTTGTCGACCTCCTGGGCGACGTAGAGAAAATCCGCGGCGAGCGCCGCAAAGCGAAAGCTAACAAGCACAAGTACACGGGTGTGGGAAACGACGCTATGAGCTTTGGCTCTAGTGGCCGCTACGGTGGTTTCGGGAGCGACAGTCCAGGCTACAGCGGCGGAGGCGGCAGTGGCAGTTATGGCGGGGGCGGAAGTGGAAGCGGTAGCGGTGATTACGGCGGTGGAGGTAGCAGCCGTGGTGAGTACCTATCATCTCCACGCATGAATGCTGTCTCATATCCGCCAGGCTACGACAGCTACGGCGATGGTGGTAGCGGAGGATTCAGCGGCGGTTTCCGTGACACAAGTTCTCGACGCCAGTTCCAAGAATACGACGCAGGAGATGACGACGTAATCCCCAGACGTTCGAACTCGGTCTCTGCGTCTGCATCGTCATCTGCGGCTGCACCCCAGCGTTCGTCGACTCTTCCGACGTCGGCGGTACCGGAACCTAAGGCCAAGCAGCCGGAGATAGACCTGTTGGGCATGGATGATGACGCCTTTGGCAGTGCGCCCAGCGTCCCCGTCGACAAAGCCCTCCCAGTCCTGGGTGCCCAGTCTCTGTCTCTCGGTACGTGCCATATCCAGCGTGTGCGCCGCGCCCGACTGACTTTGCATAGTGGGAGGCGATGACGACTTCGATGACTTCCAGAGTGCACCCCCATCTGCTGTGCCTACGAGTAGCACGCCGTTCGCCAGTTATGGCGCCCAGCCCTCGCAGCCCGCATTACAGCCTCAGTCAACAAGCGCTGGCCTCTTTAGCATGCTTGCTACCCCCGCAGTCGGCGCTACCCCGGCTAGGACGCCATACATGTCGCCTCCCGCCGTTCCCACACAAAACCCTATGCAGAACGTCATGCGCCCCGCGCTGGTGGCCTCGCCGCCTCCCACGATGACCTCGCCGCCCCCTATGATGGGTAGGCAAACTCCCCTCGTGCCCAGCCAGGGCATCTTGTCGCCGACCTCTCCCCCTCCACGTTCAACCGCCACTTCCCCCGCTGCCGCCGCCACGCAGAAGGCGCCGGCTGCCAGCTTCGACGACCTCTGGTCGATGTCCCTTGGCTCCTCCTCTGGCAAGAGCACGGGCGGCGCGGCCACGCCTCAGCAGAAGAGCATGAAGGACATAGAGAAGGAGAAAGCCCAGGCACAGATCTGGGGCGGCCAGAACAAGCCTCCTATGGGCGCTGGCTTCGGGTCGTTCGCCGGAGCACCGGCCTCGAACACTGCACCTCCGTCCTCCTCGGGGAACGGGTTCGACGACCTTCTGTTCTGAGCGCCGGTGAGTAGACTGGAAAGAAGGGGTTCTGGGTGTGTTTGCTTCGCTGTTTGGAGGTAGAGGTCCTCTCGTTTATGTGTATGGATCAGGTACTAGTCTGGATGTTCCATGTTAGCCCCAGAATGCGCGCGATCGGGCCAAGTCGTGCTTCGGAGTCCCAACAGATCGGGTTTCAGTGGGTAGTGATCTATGAATCCAGCAAGTCTTCCCCACCCTTCCCCCGCAGTCTTCAGATAGGCTTAGGTTTGTCCCCGAGGAATGCACGACGGCGGTGACGCTGGGCAGCATATGCATGCTCCGTCGCCGGTCTCACAGTCTTATCATGCCACCTCTCCTTCTGCCCGGCATGACCTTTCTCTGTCAGGTTATGCTGCCGGCTGGCAGCTGTCGAGTTGTTCCCTTGCCTCTTCCTTACGAGAGGTTCCATACGGGCCAAGGTAACCCGTTGATGCAGAACTCTCGCTACTCATGCACGATCATGAGACCCCTAAGATACCGTTTCGGCATCAAACAGCTGCCTCGACCGCGTGGACGGCGGATCCGGAGATTCCGAAGATATACAAGCCCGAGCGAGGTGGCCTTGGTTCTCGAGTTCCGCCCCTCCGACCTGCAGCTTGCCTCCAACCATGAAGCTCCTCGCGCTCGCGGTGTTCCTCGCGACGGTGTCCTCGCCCGCCTCGGCGCTCTGGCCCCAGCCACAGAGCCTCCAAACGGGCTCCAGCACGCTCCGCCTCGCGCCAGGCTTCCAGATCACCATTGCCGGGCGCGGTGTCCCGGGCGACCTGCTCGCCGCCGCGGGGCGCACGAAGCAGTACCTCACCAGCGACAAGCTCGGGCGGCTCGTCGTCGGCCGAGGCGCGGACGACTTGCACACGTTCGCGGCCGCCAAGACGCTCTCGCGCTTGACGCTCTCGCTCGAGAAGGGCGCGTCCTTCGCGTCGATCACGAGCGAGGCGCAGAAGGCCCCTGAGGAGCGCGACGAGGCGTACCACCTGGTCGTGCCTGCGGACGGCTCAGGCGCGAGCATCACCGCGAACTCGACGTTGGGCCTGTTCAGAGGCCTCGCGACGTTCGGCCAGCTCTGGTATGAGCATGACAACACGGTGTACACCATCAGCGCGCCCGTTACTATTGCAGACAAGCCTGCCTATGTACGTCGTATGCAGGACCTGCCGTTTATTTTGGGAGCTTATCGTCCTTGCAGCCTTATCGTGGGTTTATGCTGGACACAGCGCGTAATTAGTATGCCTAGCTAGTTCTGGTCTTTGCATTACCGCATTGACTCCGGGTTTAGTTTCCCAATCTCCGACATTAAGCGGACGCTCGATGCTATGAGCTGGGTCAAGGTACGCTAAGTTTAGCTGGGCGGCTTAGAGTGTCAGCTGAACACCACCCCAGATCAACCAGTTCCACTGGCATGTCGTGGACAGCCAGAGTTTCCCGCTGGAGATCCCCGGCTTCACCGACCTTGCGGACAAGGGCGCGTACTCATCCTCGCAGACGTACAGCCTGGCTGATGTGCGGGACATCGTCTCGTACGCCGGCGCGGTAAATTATGTTCTTACCACCATCGTGTACCCGTAACTGATCGGTACGCAGCGCGGAATCGACGTAATGGTCGAGATCGACACGCCCGGTCACACTGCGGTCATCGCGCAGGCGCACCCCGATTTCGTCGCATGCGCCGAGGCTACTCCGTGGGCATCTTTTGCGAACGGTGCGCAGCGCTTGCAGGCCCATGTGGGCCTCTGTGTTCTTCGGATCTTCTGAGCTTCTTGATTGTAGAACCGCCCGCGGGCCAGCTGCGCTTTGTGAACGCGACGGTCACGAGCTACATCGCGGACCTCTTCGTCGCGGCGGCGAAAATGTTCCCGTCGACACTGTTCAGCACTGGGGGTGACGAGTTGAACACGAACTGCTACGCTGCGGATACTCCGACGCAGGCTGCGCTCAACGCTTCCGGCAGCACGCTGGAGGAGGCGCTCAACGTATTCACGCAAAAAACGCACCAGGCTCTTGAGGCGAAGGGCAAAACGCCTGTCGTATGGGAAGGTACGTGTCCACTCGGGCTGTGACTGGGAGTGCATGCTCAATTGATGTACAGAGATGGTTCTCGTTCACAACGTGACCCTCTCCAAGGACACGCCAGTGCTGTGGGTACCTTACGAACTTTGTGTCAGGACCTATGCTCACCACGTTACTCTTTGCAGGGTGTGGATATCCTCGGACAACGTCAAGGCCGTTGCGCAGGCGGGCCACAAGCTTATCCACGCTGCGTCCGACTACTTCTACCTTGTAAGACACCATGCCACAGTTTTCGGAGCGCAAAGACTGACGCCTGTCAGGATTGCGGCGGAGGCGGATGGGTCGGCGACTTCCCCTCCGGGAACAGCTGGTGTGACCCTTTCAAGACATGGCAGCGCTCCTACTCGTTCGACCCGGTCGCCAACCTTACGGCTGCAGAGAGCAAGCTCGTCCTGGGAGGTACGCGGCCCATCTCTTCGTAGCTCCACCGACCTTACTGACTGGTTACTACAGGCCAGCATCTCCTCTGGACCGAGCAGTCGGGCCCGCAGAACCTCGACCCGGTCGTGTGGCCACGCGCCGCATCGTCCGCCGAGCTCTTCTGGTCAGGTCCAGGCGGGAACATCAGCGCGGCCCTTCCGCGTATACACGACCTCGCGTACCGCTTCCGCCAGCGCGGCGTGAACGCCATCGCTCTCCAACCCGAGTGGTGTGCGTTGAGAGCGGGGGCGTGCGATATTGATGCGTGATCTGGGTTGCGTGTACAGTGGGCGGACCTTACGGCTGCGATGGACGTTTGGATGTCATTCTCGATACGAAGCTATGATACTAGCGTTCATATCAGGTTGTCCATCCCCAAGCCCAAAGTGTTCGCCGTTCGCGCGATACCTGTACATCGTGTGTCGCCGACAAATCTGTTTGAACTTAGAGCGTAAGATGTGGTATTCTTACATCACCGTCTGCCCACTGCGATGGCACGTCGCGCGTCGCGCTCCGGCAGTTCCAGATTTGAGCGTTGTGATTCATCTTGTCAAACATACAATGTTTCCTCCGTACTTTCGACGAGGTTACGGTATAACAAGACTGCGGTAGACAGTTTAATCAATAATGTCTGGGAAATCAAGAAAGTCGGCATCCACGGGGTGCGCCTCGGGCTTGGGTCGCCGACGGGTGGGCACCTTGAAGCGCACATCCCGATGTCCAGGTCGTCGCAGCAAACAGTATTGCCCATCGTGCAACAGGAACTTCTCCGCTCCGGGTTCGATTTCGTGCTGAGGGATCCCGAATGAACACTCGAGAGAGCGCATGGATATGATTGGCCCGGACCCTATTGGCGTGTTCGGGTCGGGGAGGCAGAGGAGGTCGAATTTGAATGGCGAGTTGACCGGTTCGCCTGTGGAGGTAAGTACGAAGTCGAGGCAGTAATCCTTGCTTTCGGCGTTGCCTGAGAACAGGCGGACGGAGTATTCGCTTCCAGGGAGAGGCCGGACGAAGACCTCCGGGTCCCCTGGGCTTGGTTTGAACTGCACGTCGCGTCAGTTCCGAGTATATTCGGCCAGTGTGCGAGCGAAACTCACGCCAGTCATGTCCAAAAGCTCGTCTAGATCTTTCGTTGCTCCGCCTACCACCGCTTCATACGAGCCTTGTTCTCGGATGTTTACGGCCAATAATCTATCCAACCATTCGCAAAGCCCGGCCTCAGGGCCGCGATATGGGCGGTTGCTGAGATGAAGCACTTCCCAGTCGTTGCGCGGCGTGAAGTAGGGGTAGTGCTTGCGGATCTGTTTCTCCGCCAGCTCGCGGGTGGTGTGCAGGGGCTTTATTGGTCGCGTGGGCTGCGCCTCTGGTGTTATTATCGTTGTTGAGGTCCCAGCAGCAGATAGTGAGGAGCTCGACAGGGTTGAAGGCTTTGGGTGCTTGGAGTTAACCGCCTTGGACCGTTTCGAGGAGTCGTACGGCTGGTGTCGTTTACGCGTCTGTAGTCACGATCCATGAGTTCCGTGTTATATCGTATAAACGTGCCATATACCTTCTTCGCAGCAGCAGTCATGACGGAAACTGGAAGACGTAGCTACGTTGGGTGGCTAAGATGGCAGTGGAGGATTTGAACGAGACGCACACAATTGGCGCTCGATGTCCTACGGGCGCTTGCATATTGTTGTCTTCGCACACGGTTCGCGTCCGATCGCTTCCAACATTGTGCGCGCCGCAAGCTACAATTGGCTTCCTCCACAAACACGAAACTGGGTACGAGTTCATGTTTCATGAGAATGCCCACTGAATTTGACGTAGATTGTAATTCGCAAAATTCGCGACCACGCCGCCGCCGCTCAAGCTTGTACCTTGGGTCACTGTTTAGCCACTGGAAATTGCCTGCATAACATGCCGTCCGTCTCCGTAAAGAAGGTTGCTTCTAAAAAGGTACATATTCACTGTGTATACGGACATATAACTAATGCACCAGTGCTGTAGACGAGCAAACGACACCAGCCGTACGACTCCTCGTTCTCGGAGGTACGTGAATCATTCTCCCTATCGTTTGGCTGGTCTCATTAATATCGTCTCTGTAGGCCAGCATCTCCTGTGGACTGAGCAGTCTGGTCCGCAGAACCTAGACCCGGTTGTGTGGCCGCGCGCCGCATCGTCCGCTGAGCTCTTCTGGACGGGTCCTGGCGGAAACATCAGCACGGCCCTTCCGCGCATACACGACCTCGCGTACCGCTTCCGCCAGCGCGGCGTGAACGCGATCGCGCTCCAGCCGAAGTGGTGCGCATTGAGAGCGGGGGCGTGCGACATTGATGCATGATATGGGATACTTGTGCAGTGAGCAGACCTTACGGCCACGATGGACGTCTGGATGGCATTCACGATACGAAGCTATGTTACTAGCGTTCATATCAGGTTGTTCTTCCCCAAAGTGCTCGCCATTCGCGCGATACCTGCACATCTGACAGATGTGTAGATAGTGAGGATACGTGCGTCGCTGGGAAACCTGTTTGAACTTAAAGCGTAAGATGTGGTATACATCACCATGCATCCACGCACTGCGGTGGGTCGTCGCGCGTCGCGCTCCGGCAGTTCCAGATCTGAACGCTGTGATTCATCTCGTCAAACATACAACGTGTCCGGCGTACTTTCGACAAAGTCACGGTACAACAAGACTGCAGTAAACAGTTCAATCAATAATGTCCGGGAAATCCAGAATGTCGGCATCTACGGGGGGCGCCTCGGGCTTGGGTCGCCGGCGGGTGGGGACCTTGAAGCGAACATCCCGATGTCCAGGTCGACGCAGCAGGCAGTGTTGGCCATCGTGCAAGAGGAACTTCTCCTCTCCAGGGTCGATCTCGCTCTGCGAAATCCCAAACGAATGCTCGAGGGGGCACATGCGCACAGTCGGCACCGACCCCACTGGCGCGTCCGGGTTCGGTAGGGTGAATAGGTCGAACTTGAACGGGGAATTGACTGGTTCGCCGGTAGACGTGAGCACAAAGTCGAGGCAGTAGTCCTTGCTTGCGGCGTTTCCTGAGAACAGGCGGATGGAGTATTCGCTTCCAGGGAGGGGCCGGACGAAGACTTCCGGATCCCCTGGGCTCGGTTTGAGCTGCATCCATCGTCAGGCCAAGTATATTTGACGAATGAGCATGTGGAACATACACCAGTCATCTCCCAGGGCTCGTCTAGATCTCTCGTTGCTCTCCTTACCACCGATTTATATGAGCCTTGTTCTTTGATATCTAGGGCTAGATAGTTGTCCAACCGCTCGTAAAGCCCAGCCTCGGAGCCGGAATATGGAGCGCTGCTAAGATATAACACTTCCCAGTCGTTTCGCGGCGTGAAGTAGGGGTAATGCTTGCGTATAGTCTTCATCGCCACCTCGCGCATGGTGTGCAGTCGCTTCGTTGGTCGCGTAGACTGCGACGGTGGTGTTGATGATGTTGACGGGGTCCCAGCGACAGATAGTGAGGTCGACAGGGTTGCCAGATGCTTGGAGTTAGCCTTGGACCGTTTCGAAGAATCGTATGGCTTGTTTCGCTTGCCCGTCTGTAGCCATAATGCTTCAATTAGATGCCATATCAGATACACATTCCACATACCTTCCTAGCAGCAGAAGTCATGACGGGAGCAGAAGACAACGTTTGGTGGCTATGACGGTGTCGAACTCGAAGTTATAAGAGAGCAGTATTGGCGCTCAATTGGCGCTCCGTCAACCGCGGGCGCTTGTGGATTGCCATCGAATCTCTCGTCCTCCGACTCGCACACTGTTGCGGCGTACGTCGCTCTCAACAACGCAACTGCATACGATTATCTGCCCCCAAAAAGCGCGAAACCGATATTACGAGCCTGTTTATGTCGTCCGCTTGAACGTGGGCGCTTAAATTTACGTATATGGCAACTCGCATAGATCTAACGCGATCACGCTCAAGCTTGCAACCTGCGACCATCTTAGCCACCGGCCGAAGCTGCGTGCATGACATGTCCATGTCGTCCGTCTCACTCAATAAAGTTGCTTCCAAAAAGGTATGTGGTTTCTGTGTATAATACGACGTCGAACTGAAGCATCGGTGCTGTAGACCGGCAAACGACGACACCAGCCATATGACTCCTCGAAGCGGTCTAAGGCGAACTCCCAGCATCCGACCCCTTCAATCATCAAGACCACCTTACCATCTGTCGCTGAGACGCCATCAACGACGTCGACACCGGAATCGCAGTCCACGCGGCCAACGAAACCGTTGCACTCCATACGCGAGTTGGCTATGAAAAAGATCCGCAAGCACTACCCTTACTTCACTCCGCGCAACGACTGGGAAGTGCTCTATCTCAGCAACGCCCCTTATTCCGGGTCCGAGGCCGGGCTATACGAGCGGTTGGACAAATTTCTAGCCGTAAATATACAAGAACAAGGCTCGTATGATGCGGTCGTAGCGGGTGCAACGAAAGAATTAGACGAGCTCTTGGACTGGACTGGCGTGAGTTCCGCATGTACATTCTCCAGTTGTACTCGAACTGACGATGAATGCAGTTCAAACCGAGCCCAGGGGACCCCGAGGTCTTCGTCCGTCCCCTCTCCGGAAGCGAATACTCGATCCGCCTGTTCTCAGGCAATGCCGAAAGCAAGGACTACTGCCTTGACTTCGTGCTCACATCCACCGGCGAACCGGTCAACTCTCCGTTTAAGTTCGATCTCCTCTGCCTCCCCGACCCGAACGCGCCGATAGGCCTCACGCCAATCATGTCCATGCACCCTCTCGAGTGTGCGTTCGGGATCCCGCAGCACGAAATCGAACCCGGAGAAGAGAAATTCCTTTTGCACGACGGCCAACATTGTTTGCTGCGTCGACCCGGACATCGGGATGTGCGCTTCACGGTGCCCATCCGTCGGCGCCTCCAAGTGGAGGCGGCCCCCGTCGATGCCGACGTTCTTGCTTTCCCAGAGTATATTGATTAACCTTGCTATCGCGTCCTCATCATGTTTTCTCTGACCAAAGTCCCCGCCTCTGTATATGTCTATACCAGAATGTATAACCCAACGCTTCGTCTATGAATGCATCAGGATTTTCGCAAATATTCCGCCTGGATCACGTTCAATGGAAGAAGTCCTGCGACTATGTGGCTAAAATACAAGTATTGAATTCCGCCGCGATAATGAGCAGCTTATCATGATCAAGTGGTGTCAATCAGCAGTGCGCACGAATACCCTTCAAGATACTTAGTGAAGTTGAGTTATACATTGCAATGGGATAGGAGGCTGACGGCTCAGGCGCATCCTCTCTCGACCCCTCTGTGCGATCCGGCCCTGAACACGATGGCTGGTCGTCTATGCTTCTTCCGACGCGTCCTCTCCTTTTGCTAACGCGATGGCAAGTCGTCTACAATCCCTTGCGAATGTAACAACGCTTCCGCTGTAAGCGAACTTCATCGTCACAACATCTGGATGCACACACGAAGCTGCAGTGCAACTGGACAATACAGAAACTACTGAACTATTCGTCATTCGCGCGATACTTGTACATCTCAAAACTCTGCAGCGTAGTAACTAATATACATTCCATCCTGCGTAACCGAAACGCGAGCTTGGGCTTGAAGCGTAAGATGTGACCGTCCAACACCATCCCGCCTGCCGACCCCCACCTAGTTCCCCTGCGGCGGGTCCTCGGGCTTCGCGCGCCGGCAATTCTGGATCTGGGTACTGAAGATCACCTCGTCGAAGATGTAGTGCTTCCCCTTGTCCTTTGGAAGTATCTTGGGCGGTTCAGGTCCGTGATCCTTCCGGGGCGCGTGCTTGTGGTAATGCAGTTGAATTGGGGTTCCGTTGCGCTGTCGCACGCGGAGGGTGAGGCGATGGTGCCACGGTAGCTTGGGACCCCGCACAACATGGCCGTTGACAATGAAGAAACCCAGACCGGGAGGCGTCGCGTTCGGGAGGACTGCCGGTTCATCAGGGACGCCCACAGCCTGTTGACCGGGATCATCCACATGCAGGAGGTGGCGCAAGTAATTATTGGTTTGCCAGGGCCCCGGTCTGCCAGCTTGAAGGGAGTCCGCCTCCTGTATCATGCCCACCGATAGGCCCCAGCCAACACAGGCTACTCCGACTCTTCGGACACGTCCTTGGGAGGTCCAGATGTTTTGGAGGTAGATATCTGCGCCTAACTGGTCGATGAACGCACCGGCAGACGAGCCTATAAAACGTCCACCTCGAGGGACGACTTGAGGATCCCCGGGAGGCATGTTCTATGTGATTGAAGATTGAGTATCAGGGAAGCCAGCGCCCTGAGGTGTAACAAGAAGCCAATACGCACTAGTCTCAACCTAGAGGCGTAGTAGACAGTAAGAGCGGACTGGCGTTGAACGCGTTTGAATCCGAGTCCTGCTTTGAGCTGTTGATGATCATGCGTGAGTGTGAATTCAAAGGTTCTGGCAGCGACGTAGAGGACGTACATCAGCGGGAAGGGGATGGGAAACGAGGTGGTGGCTCGGAGGCGGAACGAGAGGCGAGGGTGACGAGATACAAGTCAGGGTGCTTTATAGGTGCCTCAGAAGACCGTTCGGGATCGTTTTGGGACAACAATGCGATGTTACCCCCACGAGTGTTTCATTCATTTAGCCGCGGGCCAACTTGGTCGTGTTTTGTTGTCATACACCTGTATACAGCCATGGCTAAAGCGTCCTGCGGCATGGCTTCCGTGAGTGATGTCATTGTGCTGCGAGCCCATGGATGCACAGAATAGGTAGTCCCACCCCAAGCCCACCTGAGTCGACCTCATTGTGATCTGGCCAAGCGCAAGGCTTGGCTTGTACTTCCCGCGGTTGGTCCGTCCATTTGAGATTATCCGGGATCCTCAGCCATGGTCAGCAGCATTGTGGCCACCTTATGACGCCTGGATCCAGCTTCATTGTCCTCGCCGTTGGCGAAGTCCTAGCCTGGCCATGGCTGCGCAGTTCCTGACGGCATGTGAATGATTCAGTATGAGGTTGAATGCAGACAATGAGATTCGAAAAATACTGCGCAACATTGCGGTGGGTTATAAGGCAGGACAACGTTCAACATCGGCGCTGTCTCCGCCTCGAAACGGCTCCCGCCCCTCAAGTGCAACGATGTCGTCCCACCAGGTATGAGCTTCCACCGTCCCAGAGGCTAGATATGCTCGATTCTGACCATACGTCGTAGGTTCCAAGGAAGAGATACAGAAGCTCGGATTCCCCTAATGATTCAGACGAGCAAGACCGGACTCTCGGGGGTGCGCTACGGTTGGAGGTCAGTTTTTTGGACACACCACCGCCTTCATCGCCCCCGAGAGGCGCGACCTCGAGCTCCCAAGTCCAGAGCGCGGTACTCGCAGTACAGGCCCCAGCCCCACCTCCGGTTTACAAATTCGAGAAGCACATCGCACGCGACGTTTACATCGATCTCATCCGGAAGAACTATCCGGACCTGGACGTCGCCAATCTGAGCGACTTCGACTTGGTAGCGCTGTCCTCAGGAGGATATGATGGCTCCCCAGCCGGAATCCAGCAATGGTTGCAGGACGAGCTCGACGCCGTAGCGGAGCTAGAGGGCGGAGACGTCAAGGCGATTCTGGAGGAGGCGACCGTGGCCTGCAATGAGGTAGTGTCAGCAATCGGGGTGAGTTTAGCCCGTCTTTTGAGCATACTTCTAGTCACTGAACAAACCTCGGATCAATCAGCTCAAGCCTTCCATCGGAGCGACCGACGTTATCATCCGACCTGTGACGGGCACCGACTACTCCATGCGCCTTTGGCCTGCCTCGGAGCAAAGCTGGTGTTTTGACTTCGTGCATTCGACGACCCAGGAGCCGAAGAACAAGCCGTTCCAGTTCGAGCTGTGGGCTGTACCGCTGGAGACCGACAACCAGGCCCCATGGCTGCCTATCAGTCTGCTCTCGAGGCGCTTGTACTCGATGGAGTTTGGCTTTGGACTCACCGACGCTGAGATCAAGGAGGGAGAAGAGAAGTTTGCTTTGATGGATGGACAGACGTGCATCCTCAAGCGTTTGGGTCATCGTGACATACGCTTCACGGTACCTAACCGCAACCCGGTCGTAGTGCACGACGAGGTAGAGGTTGTTGTATTCAGATGAATTCCGGCGAGACGCCGACGTCGGCGCGTATGTACTTATGGTAGTACATACGCCGGACGCTGTGTGTCGTCAGTATAATGTTTGATCCTTCTCGTGCACCTGTAATATCATATATTTGATCGCTGCGTCATGTGAGCGTAGAATTTCGGGCTGTAGCGAGGACGTACGCGTTCAAGAGAGCATTACATAGCGGTGTAAGCACTTGCAGTCGACTCGGAGGCGACTGCTAGCGCTCCATCTTGGCGGATCTGGCTTGATAGGGCTTGATCGCCGCGGGCGGGCGCCTATATCGATATATAAGGAAACTCGTCGAAGTCGCGATCACGCCGTTCAGGCTTGATTCCGCACCTCCACTACGACCGCCATCTTAGCCACCCGACCTCAGCTGCACACCATGCCCTCCGTTTCCGCTAAGAAAGTCGCTGCTAGAAAGGTATGCGGACTCTCTATACGATGTCACGCAGTCCTAACGCATATGTGCCGCAGACGGGCAAGCGACACCAGCCGTACGACTCCTCGAAACGGTCCAAGGCTCATTCCAAACACCCTATCGTTGCTCCTTCCATTCAATTCGTGTCAGACGATTCAAGCACCCTTTCATCTTCCTCTACCTCTTCATCCGCCGCTGAGGCTACAAGAACGACATCCACACTACCGCCGCAGTCCACACGATCAACAAAGCCCTTGCGTTCCATGCGCGAGCTGGCGGAGAAAACCATCCGCGAGAGCTATCCCTATTTCACACCGCGAAACGACTGGGAAGTGATATATCTCAGCAACGCCCCATATTCCGGGTCCGAGGCCGGGCTTTACGAGCGGTTGGACAGGCTTCTGGCCATGGAGATAGAAGACACGGGCTCGTACGAGATGGTGATGCAAGACGCTAAGGAGGCTTTGGACGAGCTATGTGACTGGACTGGCGTGAGTTTCCCCTGCATACCCGTCAGATACACTCGAAGTAACCATGATCGTAGCTCAAACCAAGCCCCGGGGATCCCGAGGTCTTCGCCCAGCCCCTCCCCGGAAGCAAATACTCCATCCGCCTGTTCTCAGGAAACGCCGAAAGCAAGGACTACTGCCTCGACTTCGTGCTTACGTCTACCGGCAAACCGGTCAACTCCCCGTTCAAGTTCGACCTATTCACCATTCCTCACCCGGACGCGCCAGTGGGGTCTGCGCCGATCATGCGCATGACCCCTCTCGAATGTTCGTTCGGGATCCCACAACACAAGATCAAGCCCGGAGAGGAGAAGTTCCTCCTGCACGATGGCCAACACTGCCTATTGCGTCGACCTGGACACCGGGATGTGCGGTTTACGGTACCAATCCGACGCCGCCCCAAACCCACTGCCAAGAAGACACCCGTCGACGCCGACATACTTGATTTCCCGAAGTACATTGATTGATCTGTCTATCGCTCTCTCACTGCTCTCGTCCGATTGATATCCCCATCTCTGTATATACCTGGACTGGAATGTATAACAATGCTTTGTTTGTGTTGATTCGACGATCTCTTGTTGAAGGCCGAGGTTATGGCTTGATCTAGTGCACGAACAACACGTAAGGGCGGTATCGGGTGTAGCTAAGGAGTCGTATGCTCAGTCGATGGTAATTGGTGTCCATAAGGACTCCCCTCGTTTCGCGAAAGTCGAGGTATATTCTGCATAGGGATACAGCAACGGGTATATGGGCTACGTGTAAAATTTGGTGGACCACAGCAGATGGCAGGAGACCGGCAACTTAGGCCCGTCCTCCCTCTTTTCTTTCTCGCGCCTGCTCAAACGCAGCGACTACTTCTGGGTGCGTGAGGATTTCCTTGAGGGGCCCGTCGTCGTTTTGGTCGGTTACGAGAGCCTGTAGCTTGGCAGGCGGAAGCACTAAAGGGTGGCCCACGATCCAGTCACTGTCGTACCGCCGATGAGCAACACCTTTCCCGTGAAAACAAGGAGTACTCACACTATGAACTGCTCCTGCGCTTCCGCCTCCGGAACACGCGCAAGGCGGCGTAGTAGTCGCGCCCAGTGCGCGCGAGCCCACAGCTCTGAGCGCGGACCGAGCGCGGGCGCGCCGTTGGCGTCGAAGTCGGCGAACGCGTCGGCGAAGAGGGACAGAGCCTCCTGCTCCTTCTCCGGCGTCCCGTGGATCGCGACCGAGAGGTAGAGCACTGGCGTTACGTCCATCTTCCCGCCCTTCGTCTTCGCGTAGCCAATAACCTCGCGGAGGTACGGTTCTGCTTCGGCGATGCGGCACGGGACGGAGTACTGCGAGTCTCGTGTCAGACTTCGCTCAGCTGTTCGTGCGGGCGCGTGAGGGAGGGAGCAGCCCGGGCGGTGGAACGCTACGCACCCGATAGAACTGGGAGAGCTGCCAGTAGCACTTGTCGAGGTAGGCGGCGATGCGCTGCTCGATCTGCTCGGGGGACGTGTCCTGTGGCCGCAGCACCCCGAGCTCGCGGCGCTGCGCCTCGGAGCCGTCGCGGACCTCCGCGATGTGGTCTGTGAGCACGTCTACGGCATTTCGCTGCTGATCGGGCTTAAAGTATTCTTCGAATGCGACGCGGAAGTTGCTGGTGAGGTAGTGCTTGGGCGGCATGCCGTGCAGCTTGCTGGCGGACCAGGTCAAGGTGCGGGGCACACATAGGCGCTCGACGAGCTCGATGTTCCGCACCACCACCACCACCAACTGGCTCGCTCACTCACCATTACGTCTGGGGCAGTCTGCTCTCGACGTTTAACTTTCTGCACAATTAGCGGCTTGATAGCTCTCCTCGTTGATGACTGTCGCGGCGCGCTGATCTCATGAATTGTCTGCGCGCGCCGTTATCACTGCTGGCTTCTCCCTATCTGGGCTTCTGGAGGAGCAGCGAAGGCGACCATGCCATGCGGAGGCTGTCGGCGCGGAGTCTAACAGATAGAGCATATGTCCTACCTCTCGTTGTATGCCGTACGTTCTGATCGTATTTTTGGGCATTGAGCGGCCTCGAGATTGCCAGCTATGGGTCAGGTGGTGACCTCCTCTTCGTCCGAACCGAACCCCGCATGGGTCTGTACGTATGTATATATATGCGTGGACGGTGGAGTACCGGGATGCGCTTGCAGCTCCCTCGCCATGAAGCTCACAGGTCTCCTGCTCGCTCTCGCCCACCTCCACGGCGTTCTCGGTCTCTGGCCTTTGCCCCGCTCTCTGCAGACCGGAAGTTCTGCGTTGAAGCTCGCGTCGAATTTCGACATCCATGTGAACGTCGCGCACGCCCCTTCCGATCTTGAGGGCGCCGTATCACGGACCAAGGCGTTCCTCAAAAACGACAAGCTAGGCCGACTTGTGGTCGGCCGCGGTACTTTGGACAACAACGCGGTTCAGCGTGCGGGATCCTTACGGACTCTCGAGCTGTCTCTCGCGCCCGGGTCTCCTGTACGAAGCATCACAGATGAGGCAAGGCTCGCGATAGGCACACGGAGCGAGGAGTACACCCTCCACATCCCAGCAGACGGATCTACTGCTACTCTCACCGCCAACTCAACTCTGGGGCTTCTTCGGGGCCTTACAACCTTCGAACAGCTCTGGTACGAGTCGTCGGGGCAGGTGTACACCATGGAAGCGCCAGTTTCCATCTCGGACTCCCCGGCATATGTAAGTACCTTGTTGAGTTGAGAAGCTGCTACTGACGACGTCTTACAGCCATTCCGTGGCTTCATGCTCGACACTTCGCGCAACTTGTGAGTGGCCTAATAACAGTGTGAAACGGCAAGCCTATGCTAATATTACCGCACGCAGCTTCCCTGTCTCAGACATCCAGCGCACGCTCGACGCTATGAGCTGGGTCAAGGTGGGAAAGTCGAATTAATTATGGTACCGATCGTACTCAGTATATACGCAGATGAGCCAGTTCCATTGGCACGTTACGGATAGCCAGAGCTTCCCGCTCGAGGTACCCGGGTTCACCGAGCTTGCAAGCAAAGGAGCGTACGACGCCTCGATGGTCTATAGCCCGGGGGACGTACAGGACATCGTCGCGTACGCCGGTGCTGTAAGTCGCTCTATTACTAGCATATGTGTACGTAGTTGATCTTTTGTTCCTAAAAGCGTGGGATCGATGTTATGGTCGTAAGCATGAATCTATCCTCAATGCATAACACTCGATATAAATTGTGTGCAGGAAATCGACACTCCAGGCCATACCGCCATCATTTCGGCCGCGCATCCAGAACATATAGCCTGCGCTGAGGCATCCCCGTGGACTACATTCGCGAATGGTGCGTGCGCGAGATCAACTTCTCCTGTTACAGTGATTGACATCAACGCCGCAGAACCACCTGCGGGCCAACTACGCCTGGCTTCGCCCGCAACGACGAACTTCACGGCCGACCTGCTCGCATCGGTCGCGCGGATGTTCTCATCGTCGCTCATGAGCACTGGCGGCGACGAGTTGAACACGGAATGTTATGTTCAAGACGCGCAGACGCAAGCCGATCTGAAGGCGAGCGGGCGAACGCTTGAGCAAGCGTTGGACGTGTTTACACAAACCACGCATGCCGCGATTCGAGCTGAAGGCAAAACTCCTGCGGTCTGGGAGGGTGAGTGAATGACCTGTTCGATGTCTCGCTCAAGCTGGACTTAGGATGCGGATAGAAATGGTGCTGGAGCACAACGTGACGCTTGGGAATGATACTGTTGTGATGTAAGCCAGTTCGTGGTGTCTGTGTCCTTCATGACGGCTTATGACGAGCAGGGTATGGATCTCGTCCGCAAACGCCGCCGCGGTTGCAGCCAAGAACTTCCGCATTGTGCACGGCCCGTCTGATTTCTTTTACCTGGTGAGTTGTACTAGGTGAATATATGCATTCTCCCGGTTCTGTACTGAACTATCATAGGACTGTGGTGCTGGGGAGTGGATCGGAGACGACGTGGCGTACGCTCTTATCATTGTTTACGAACGAGCCTCTTGCTAACCTCTCATTTAGTAACAGCTGGTGCGACCCGTTCAAGACCTGGCAGAAGGTATTTCTGCGCACAGCTCTCGTTCTTCTCAATCTAACGGCGTAACGACCTAGTCGTACACATTCGACCCCCAGGCCAACATTTCCGCATCCCAAGCACACCTCGTACTTGGCGGTAGGCCCACACGACATCCCTTGTACACTATGCCAGGCTTACTGACGTTTGCATAGGTGAACAGCTCCTGTGGACCGAACAATCCGGTCCCGAAAACCTGGACTCCATTGTCTGGCCGCGAGCCGCAAGCTCTGCAGAGGTCTTCTGGAGCGGTCCTGGCGGCAACTCGACGACGGCGCTGCCGCGCCTACACGACCTCGCTTTCCGCATGCGACAGAGAGGCGTCAAGGCCATACCGCTCCAGCCGCTCTGGTGCGCGCTGAGGAACGGGCAGTGCAACATCAACTCGTGAAGTCACGAACGGAGAACGTCCGGAGCAAGCCCTTGCTCGAGGCTGCGACGCTTGCGCGCCTTCACACAATCCGGCGAAACACGGCTTGTTCTGATTGCGAGCGGAATGGTACTGAAAGCGTCTTGATTGTCGTACAGATCTGTAGCAAAGCAAATACAGCGATTCATAGGGTCTCACGAAGACGGGTATGTTACAAAACGAAAACGAGTCAAAAGTGCGTGGTCCACGCCCACGGTCCGATGGGCCACCGCGGCGTCGGGGCCTTCCTTGCGAGCCGCCCGCCTTCCTCGACGAGTGTGTGGATGAGCTGCAACAGCGGGCTACAGTCCCATCCTTCGGCGCTGCCCGCTCCCAAGATATCAACGGTCTGGCGGCTGTACGTGACCCTCTTGATCATGTCACGACCCTCTTGGACGGCAGCCACCGTCTCCGCCGGGGTGACCGCGGTAAGCAAGATCATTGCGTTCCCTTCGTTGTTTGGGTACATGATTCGCGTCTGAAATACCCGTCAGAGCTCGTACAGACCGAAGGCGGATGGCTGCTCACCGTGTAATTGCCGTCTGCATTGGCAGGAACTCCCCACCTCTTGTGCTCCTGAGCCATGGCGTAAAGCGTGGCTACGTCCATGACCTCCACATGCTCGTCATCCTGGTGCACCTCCTCGCCCTCCTTCCGCGCTGAGCGCCAGAACACGAGCTTCTCGCGCTGCGCCTTGCGGTACGCCTCGTCTAGATACGCAAGCACAGGGGCGACCCCACTACCAGAAAACCCGTGCATAGGCTCCATCCGCACGCGCAAGTCTCCGAGGGATAGGTACGCCCGCGCCCGGCGGTAAATGTAAACGTTCTGCGCGTCCGCGATGGACATGAACGCGTCGGCGACGAGCGTACTGAGGTCCTCGCGCGGGACGGGCTTGCCGCCCCGGAGCGCGTCCGCGACGCAGTCGAACGTCTGCCGCGCGGAGGCTGACATAGAGGCCTCCGGGAGGCGGTGCGTGAGGATGAGCGGGGTTGTGGGCAGGCTGTGCGGGACGCCCATCCAGCGGAGCGCTTCGTCTGGCCAGGCGACGGGGTGGATGACGATGCGGTCGAACATCTTGAGCGGGTTCGGGATATATGCTTCTGAGGACGTGTCGGACGCATTCTCGCTCATATCTTGGGCGGATTTGTGTCCAGCGCGACCATACGCCGCGATTGGTACGGCGAGAGGAGGGGCCAGAGCGGCGGTGCTGACGGCGGGGGGGAGGGTAGGCGAATGCGTGGTCATGGTGGGTGTGGTTCGTGGGCTCGTGCCTGCGCGCACAGAGCCCAACGATTATAGCCTGCGGATGTGCGGATGTGGAGTCTGTCGGGTGTGCCAACGGGATCGGTGGTGTATCCAATGGCGGCTCAGTCTGGATTGAGATCCGCCCTTGGCGGAACCTGTTCTGGTCAGCCCGCAGGCATGTGGCTGACGGCCACATCGCGATTGAGGTCTGTGGTCGCGGACACCCATGTGTGGGTTTGGCGTGCGGCGGAGGAGGTGTGGTCGGCTGTGTTTGGGTAGAACGACTGACGAGGTTTAGAGGGATGTGTTAACGACCTTCTACAGCAGTACGCCGGTCTGGAACGCATATGCATGGATAGGAGTCGCGCGATTTGCATCTGTATGTTACACAGAATGTAAACGCTCCAAACTATGCACCAAAAGTACATATGACACCCAGTTGTACCTAGGGGAGTAGGTCGGTCCGAAGGTAGTACGCACGCATACCGTATACGCTGCTTATAACTATCTGATTTGATGTGCAGGATGTTTTGCCCGGATCAGGACAAATCATATGTTTTCACCACCGCCCGAGGCCGACTCTGCCAACAGCGTACGTTGATCTACCACCTCCTGCCATTATGATTGCCAAGCACCTCTACAGCAACTCCAGGCTGAAAGCCGGCATGATTCAGTTACATACCCGCCATCGTAGGGTATGTCCAGGTATTTCCCGATGTCCCCGATTGAACGGGATAGGTGAACCTGGCTCTGCCTGCTTTGTAACCGGCGACCGCCGGCAGAACTGGGAATACGCAGCATATAGAGCTATATAAGGGCGACAGGATATAGATGTATCTCAACACACAGCTCGAGTCTAAGGACTTGTGAAGAAGCAGGATCACATCCCTAACCTCCGCCATGTCCACCACCAAAGTAACCATCTTCCTCGCCGGCGCCACCGGTGAGCAAGTTATCACTTCACCTAGCGTCGCATCTCACTAACTCTTTCTATGCCAGGGTACATTGGAGGATCTATCCTGCAGCGGCTGCTCGCCCACCCCAACAAGCAGAACTTTGAGATCACCGCTCTGGTCCGCAGTGCAGACAAGGCGAAGCGTCTTGAAAGCGAATTTGGCGTGAAGACTGTCATAGGCTCGCTCCAGGACCTCGACAAGCTTGAAGCCCTCGCCGAGAATGCACATGTTGTCATCCAAGCGGTACGTACGCGCCGGTTAGTAGAACACAGGCACGAAGTGTACTAAACTCATGATTTTTATAGGCGGATTGCGACGATGTGAATGCCACCAACGCCATACTGCGCGGACTGAAGGCGCGGCACGAAAAGACCGGCGACGTGCCCATCATGATCCACAACGTATGTCTTTCATCGTTCTCCCCTGGTCTGCTTTCTGACGATCCTTCTACAGTCCGGTACAGGCGAGCTTATGGACGACGCGCAAGGAGCGTTCAAGTCAGACAGGGTCTATTCCGACCTTAACATCGCCGACATCGAGGCCCTGCCGCCCACCGCCATCCACCGCCCGGTCGACGTCCTCGTCGTCGCCGCAGATGCTGCCGGTTACGCACGCACGCACATCATCATGCCCTCGGTGATATACGGCGTCGCCACCGGCCCACTGTTCGACGCAGGCATCGCAAACGCGCACACGTTGGTCTTCCCGCTTTACGTACGCGCCGCGCTCCACCACAAGCACCTCGCTATGCTCAACGAGGGCGCGACGTGCTGGGCGAACGTGCATATCTCCGATAGTAAGCCTTGGCTCTCGTCGCGCGCTATGCACATATTGACGATTGCGCGATCTGTGTGGCAGTCACGGACTTGTTCATCCGGATGCTCGACACTATCCTGAGCAACCCGGAGAAGGTCTCTCACGGGCGCGAAGGGTACTTTTTCGGCGCAAACGAGGAATTCAGCGGGCGAGAGGGCGTGCAGGCGGTCTCAGACGCCCTGTTCGCCCTCGGACGCATCCCCTCCCCGGAAGTCGTCAAGTACTCGCTCGATGGCCTCGCAAAGTACTATGCCAGCATATTGCCGCCTTCGTTCGGCAGCCACGGCGGACAGGTGCGTTTGTTTGCTAGTGCCTCGAGAATCATATTGTTGACGAAGTCGTGTACGCAGTTTGTCGCGCGTGCGCTGTTTTCGAACACACGCTGCACGGGGGACCGTGCGCGTCGTGAGCTCGGATGGGCGCCGGCACATACGACGAAGGATATGTTCGAGGGCTTGAAGTCCGAGGTAGAGATTCTCGTCAAGAAGATTGAGGCGGAGAAGAGCGCTTGAACATTCAAAGGCTTCAAAGCTCTACTTTGGAGCCTGCAGGCTGTTGACGGTGTATTTTGTATAGGATGCTGAGAGAGTACTTATCTGGCCGTATGGATATATTTACATCTAGTAAAGCAGAGTGATAGCACGGATGCAGGGGGTACCCAAAGCGGATACAGCCGTCCGGGGACAGCCACTGTCTATCGATCCGCTGATTGGCTGGTGCGGCGTACGATCTAGTATCCTCCTTTCCTCCGTACCACCACCATCTGTTCCAGCATGTCCGTCCACCCCGCCCTGCTTATAGAAGACATTCTAGACGAAATATTCTACTATTGCGACTTCATTGGCCATCATGGCATGTTAGAGAATGCGACTTTGGCAAGCTTGGCACTGGTCTGCACGACGTTCCACGAGCCCGCCATTCGTGTCTTGTGGCGAGAGCTCCGTGCATTGACTCCCTTGTTCAGGCTGATTCCGTCCTGCCACCTCCAGGATCACGATAACCATGCAAATGATTCGCAGGGCGAGGTCGTATCGTACGATGAGAACGTAAGCCATTCGCATTCAACTTCAGCTCCCACTGATCCCGCTATCATCAGAACCTCTCGGATTTCTCATTGCACGAATGGAGCCGACTGCGAAAGTACACTGGCTACGTTCGGCTCCTCTACACTATGGACTACGAGGAAATGAAGTACCTCAAGCTCACCAACTGGCCGATGATACGGCGTCTGTCAGGAGGCGAACCTCTTCTCCCCAACGTTCGGGTGATATTCTGGCAGGTAGACGAGTCCATCGTAGACGGTCTGCTTGCCTTTCTGTCCCCTTCAATCGACCACCTGTACATCCGCTGCGTGCACGAGCAACCTTTGACAGCAAAGCACGAGTTGGAGTGGGCGGCTCGTATCAAGATATGGATCGACGCAATGACACGGATCACGCCTCGTCGAGAATTCACAGTGCTTTCATTCGACGTGGCTCAACTCCCCCCGTCTCTTTTCGCGATTCCGCTCTCTCTTGCCGCGCCAAATCTCCCCCGTGCTTTGCAACGGGTGAAGCTGGAAACCGATATGTTCCCGATTGACCTTCCCAGCTTGACTGCCTTGGCGAGCATATCCAATGTGCATTCTCTCCAGCTCTGCGAGCCCAACCTGAGTTGGAGTATTTGGTCGCGCCCCCCTCAGGCTCCCGGCGGGCTCCCCGGAAATGTAGACTTTCCCTACCTGCAGGACCTCCCTATACATAATCACCCCGTAGAAGGTCCTATAACCAGTGTGATATCCTCCGCCAGCCTGCGCTTCCTACACATAGAGACATGGGAATACCAAGACAACGCCACTCTCTGCCGGACTAGCAGGGCGCTCGCGAAGGCCTTCCCCTCGCTGGACTCGATTGGATTCGTCGATCCTCGGTGCCGCACCAATCCCCCTCCTGAGCCGCTCGCACTCCTCGACCTGCTCAGCCCATTCTTCGGCCATCGCGTGCAGGACGTATCCTTCGCCTCCGACACAGTCGCTTTCGCCGTCGGCGACGACGACCTCGTCGCCCTCTCCCGGGCGTGGCCGATGTTGACCCAGCTGGCGATCGAGATGGCGGGCCGGGCGGCGCCCTCGTCTGATTACACCGTCGGCCTGCGTGGACTTCTGTCCCTCGCGACCCATTGCGCCAGCCTGAAGAGCCTCCGGTTCGGGCGTATCGTAGTTCTGCCGGAGGACGTCGCGCAACTGCCGCCAGAGCCTCCGAACAGCGACCTGCGCTTCTTGTGGGTGAAGGAGAGGCTGTCGCCCGATGACCAGCGTCTCATATCCGACAGGATATTCCCCACATGTGTACATAAGGTACTGCCGTAATGATTCAGAGGCAGCGCCCTTGATTCCACAACAGACTGTGATAGTATAGCTCTCCGCGATGACAGACGATCTTAGCCACACCCGATACCGCCTTTGAGTGTTCAGGCCAGTACCTCAGGCCTCAACGTTCGACAAGATGTGGATAGATCAACACAGCGTTGTGTTATAAATTCCGGTACAGATATATACAGAGACGAGGATATCGATCGGACGAGAGCGACGAGAAAGCGATAGAAAAGTCAATCAATGTACTGAGGGAACTCAAGAATGTCGGCGTCGACGGGTGTCTTCTTGGCAGCGGGTTTGGGGCGGCGTCGGATGGGTACCGTAAACCGCACATCCCGGTGTCCAGGTCGACGCAATAGGCAGTGTTGGCCGTCGTGCAGGAGGAACTTCTCCTCTCCGGGCTTGATCTTGTGTTGCGGGATCCCGAATGAACATTCGAGAGGGGTCATGCGCATGATCGGCGCGGACCCCACTGGCGCGTCCGGGTCCGGAATGGTGAATAGGTCGAACTTGAATGGGGAGTTGACCGGTTCGCCGGTAGACGTAAGCACGAAGTCGAGGCAGTAGTCCTTGCTTTCGGCGTTTCCTGAGAACAGGCGGATGGAGTATTTGCTTCCGGGGAGGGGCTGGGCGAAGACCTCGGGATCCCCAGGGCTTGGTTTGAGCTACGATCACGGTCACCTCGAGTGTATCTGACGTGTATGCAGGGGAAACTCACGCCAGTCCAGTCACATAGCTCGTCCAAAATCTCCTTGGCGTCTTGCATCACCATCTCGTACGAGCCTGCGTCTTCTATCTCCATGGCCAGAAGCCTGTCCAACCGCTCGTAAAGCCCGGCCTCGGACCCGGAATATGGGGCGTTGCTGAGATATAACACTTCCCAGTCGTTTCGTGGTGTGAAATAGGGATAACTCTTGCGGACGTTTTTCTCCGCTAGCTCGCGCATGGAACGCCAGGGCTTTGTTGATCGTGCGGACTGCTGCGGTGGTGTTGATGACGTTGACGGGGCCTCAGCGGCAGAAAATGAGGTCGACAGGGTTGAAGGGGTTGGGTGCTTGGAGTTAGCCTTGGACCGTTTCGAGGAGTCGTACGGCTGATGTCGTTTGGCCCCCTGCAGCTCCTAACTGTTAGTTCTACATCGGATTATACACAGAAGTCGCATGCCTTTTTGGAAGCCACCTTCTTGGCGGAGACGGACGACATGTTATGCATGCAGCTTCGCGCAGTGGCTAAGGTGGTCGTGCAAGCTTGAGCGGCGCGACTACGTAGTACGACTTACCATATACGTCAGATTAGGCGCTCAAATACAGGCGCTCAAACGAGGTCCGAGACCAGCATGCGTTCGTGATCCGTCTCGCGTTTGAACAGGACGATAGTTGTAGCTTTCTGCGCGCGCAATATTGGGAATGATGTGCAACGGTGTGCGTGTCGGACGAGAAATCCGACAATTCTCAAGCGCCCACACAATTGACGAAGCGCCAATTGGGCGCCAATTGAATCCTCTCGCTCAAAACGTCCACCGCCATCTTAGCCACCTGACGTTGGTACGTCTTCCGTTCCCATCATGCCTGCTGCCTCTAGGAAGGTATGTGTATCATGTATACAATATGACATACAACTCAAGTACTGTTGTAGCCACAAACAATCAAGCGACGCAAGCCATATGACTCCTCGAATCGGTCTAAGGCTCATGCTCAGGCTGACTCGCTGAAATCCCACTCCGAGCTGCTCCTTGCACTCGGCTCACATCAGACGAGTCGAGCACCCCTTCTTCCTCATGTGCACCAGTCGATGAGACGCAGGCAACGGAGGCAACACTGCTGCCGCCCACGCGACCGACGATTCGGACGAAGCCCTTGCACACCATGCGCGAACTGGCGGAAAAGAAGATCCGCAAGAGCTACCCTTACTTCACTCCACGAAATGACTGGGAAGTGCTCTATCTTAGCAATGCCCCATATTCCGGCTCCGAGGCTGGGATTTACGAGGTGCTTGACGAGCTTCTGGCCATGGAGATAGAAGACACAGGTTCGTATGAGCAGGTAATAAATGACGCAAAGGAAGCTTTGGACGAGCTCTTGGACATGACTGGGGTGAGTTCTACATGCACGCTCGCCGGATGCGCTGGCGCTCACGATCACTGCAGTTCAAACCAAGTCCAGGGGACCCGCAGGTCTTTGCCCGGCCTCTCCCCGGAAGCAAATACTCCATCCGCCTGTTCTCAGGAAACGCCGAAAGCAAGGACTACTGCCTCGACTTCGTCCTTACGTCTACCGGCGAACCGGTCAACTCTCCATTCAAATTCGACCTCTTCACCATTCCTGACCCGGACGCGCCAGCGGGGTTCGCGCCGATCATGCGCATGACCCCTCTCGAATGTTCGTTCGGGATCCCGCAACACGAGATCGAGCCCGGAGAGGAGAAGTTCCTCCTGCACGACGGCCAACACTGCCTTCTACGTCGACCTGGGCATCGGGATGTGCGGTTTACGGTACCCATCCGACGCCGCCCCAAACCCACTGCCAAGAAGATACCCGTCGACGCCGACATTCTTGATTTCCCTCGGTACATTGATTAATTTGCCTATTGTGTTCTCATCGCACTCTGAACGTACGCGTATCAATTGCATACCTCGTTCGTTGGCTATGCCCCGCTTTGCTCCATAGTCTACTCGCTCCTGTCGGATATTCCCTAGATGTATACATCAGGTACTACTATAAGAATCAATACATCGTGTCGGCAGCGCATACATGGGACCAAAACAGACTAAGCCCCGCATCGGGTACCCACAAAGACCGCAGCGGTGGACGTCAGCAATCCGCGCGGGTCCACCCGCACCTCCTCCGTCGTGTACTGCACATGCACCGCATAGCTCCCCACCGCGTCGCCCTCGTCCACGAGCGTCGTCTTGTTCGTGAACGCCTCGACAACCGCGCCGTCCTTCGACCAGGTGATGGTGTAGCTCTCCGCGACGTCCACCGGGTGCTCCCGGAGGTGCGCGAGGGGGACGAGGCTGAGCTCGAGCGTGCGCTCTGAGGTCCCGGAGGCGTCGCGCGTGCAGCTGGGCTGGAGGTCGTCGATGGGGTCGACGCGGTGGAGGAGGGCGTGCCAGAGGCCTTCCGTGCAGGACTTGCAGAAGTTGGGCGTGGTCACGATGCGCATGAGACAGTCTTCGTTCGTTGGCCGGTACGACGTCTCGTTTTTGTCCGAGAACCTGCACGCGGGTCAGTAATGTAGCTTTTAAGCGTGCGGGGTAGAGAGGCCCAGAGCACACATACGTGGGGTAGAGGCTGTAATGCCCCGGCTTCGTAACGAACCTGACCGAGAAGTGAGCGGTAAGTCCAGACGTCGCCCATTTCGTCTGCTTACTCGTCCTCATCGCCAAACTCCAGAACCTCTACGCTGCATAACTGCGCCTCACCCTTCCGCTTCGCGTTACGCAGCGTGAACGACACATTGTGCTCGCCGCCTTCCAGGGTACGGTTCAGCTTGATGTCGTAGTGCCACCTGTCGACGCCGATATCCGCGCGCGGGACCCACCCGAGGTCGTGCCCGTCGAGCTCCACGCGCAGGTCATCTTTCTCCGGCAGCCCCGACAACGAGAAGCGCACGAGGTGCCAGGCGTACGTCCCTGAGGAGTTGAAGGTCGTCGCCCATGGCTCAGAGGTGTTCAGGAGCGTCCACGGGTACGCCTGCAGCGGCATTACTGATCGTTCGACGCGTGCCGTTAGGGTTTCTTTGGAGGCCGAGTGAGAGTGCGCGTGCGAGGAGTTGGTAAGCCAGTGCGCCCAGGGGATGTCGGTGACGGTGACGTTGTGCGCGGCGTTCGCGCCGAAGTAGGCGAAGCCGCCGTCGTACTCTTCGCCAACGTCGATGACGGAGTGACCCAGTTCATGTCTGTTGCATCACAATTAGCATGCCAGATGGCTGTTCCCGACAAGACAGTTCATACCTCAACACCAAAGCCCCATTTGCGAGGGAGGGTGTGATGACTCTGGCATACATGTCGTCAGCAAAGTCTGAGAGTGCGGCGATCAGTGTGTACCTACGTGAATTCGCCTCCCAGCCCTTGCGTAAAGGGTGAGTCGCTACTCCAAGCGTACGTATTCGATCACTTACCTCCATACAGAGGATCGTTTCCTGTATGCACTACATAAGCGACCGTCCTCTGAGTCCAGATTCGAAGCACGCACCCATCAGTATTGGATAGTCGCACTGTCCACCCAAGGAGAAGCAAGCTTCGCGAGCCACCTCCGGCTTGCTGTAATACACTCCGCGGAGCTCGGTCCCGTCGCGATACAGTCCAAATGGTGTGCTGGTAATTGGCCATCAGGGATCATCCCGACTCAGCGCAAATGTCAGTTCAAGCGTACTCTTTTGGTTTGCCTCCACTGCCAACGCCGCTCTATGCTCGATAGATCAGAAGGCGCATTATGCAGAACAGAGTACATAGGGAGCTACCTCCTTGCTCGGCGTGAACGCTCCCCAGAAGTTGAGTAGCGGCTTCACGGTGTAGAAGGTCTGGTTGCCCGAGATGTCCTCGGCAAGACGCATCGCGTCGTCAAAGAACTTGTCTCTCTCTTCGGACGTGTCTGCAATGTTTCAGTCCCATTGAGCAGTGTCCTGGAACGTTGTTTGGATTACTCACAACCATCTGCGAAGAACACGAGGTCGACGCGATTCCTGGAGTCTCCGGACGTTATGAGAGGCTCCACTTCGAGCGGCGGTACTTCGACTCTGTAGGCAGAGCTAGTAGATGACTGGAGAACGATTTGGCTAGCCTGCTCAGCAAGAGGCTCCTCTGGCACGATATAATGGAAGTTCCAGGAGTCTCTCTTCCCGCATAGACTCTCTGCATACGTCCACAAATAATTTTGATCATAGTGGACGAGTTGGATGCGTTCTTCCCCAGTATCAATAGTTTTGCGAGCGGCGTATCCATCGTCAAAGAGGCCTCTGAACTGCGCTAGCTCCCGTAAGGCAACATGTCTGCACTGTTGCGAGATGGGGTCTAGGATAGCGACGAGCTCATGTGGGTGACGAACACCCGTGGAAAGCACCGAAACAACCAGCAATGCAAGGATGGAGAGGAGCTGTCTCATGGTCGTTGGTGGTAGTGGTGCGAACGAGAGCCGCGTTCGAACTTCGAACGCTTCGACAGTGATGCTCCCCGCGGTACCGGCGGGCCGTTCAACGGGCCGTACGTCCGATACGACTTGGCCAACAAATCGGGCAGAATCCACATACTTTGCAGTTCTTACCAGAGACGTCACAGAGGCGAAAGGTATGGATACTGTCGTGTAGCGGATATGAAGGCCGTGGTAAACTTTCAACATGCATACACCTGCGTCTGGTTTCTCACAACAGGTCGCTGTGGACTTCCTCGTACATCCCGCACAAGCTTCTGACACAGGCGGCCTGAGGGAGGAAACGGTCGAGCGACTGGCTGCACATTGAGATGCATGCCGGAGGTGTCGCGACAAATTGATGGACATGTATGTCGTATTCCAGATTTGACTCACTGACTTGAGCGAATAGAGCTGACGCAGGATGAGGGAGATGTCCTTGACAGGGTGCCATAGAGATTGAATTGCCCTTTGTGTTGGTTGGTGAAGGCCGCGCGCGCCATGCCAAGGTTCGGTCGTTGCTATAGCTCTCGTCTTGGGGATTTGCTCGAAGATTTCCCGCAATAAGTCAGGCACCGTCTGCTATGCATGATGATATTCATGTGAATTAGTCGAGTGTAATGCTACATCTAACCGTCCTGTGATATAGTCAGCGTACGCCGCGCAAAAAGTAGCACACCACTCACCTAGAGCCTATGAGCGGGCGAAGGGGATCTGGAACCCCGACAACAGCGCTCGCGCGCGATTTTGGGCCCCCACACCCTTCGCATTCGTCATGCAGTGGATATGCATACCGAACGTTGCGGGATACGCGTCGAAGTTGACCTCGATCTGCGGGAACAGACCGAGCGCGGCTGGCGGCAGACCGAACGACACCACCCCGGACGCCGAGCTCATCTTGTCGAGGCGGTTCGAGGGGCCCTCCATGACGACGCCCTGGAACTCGCGCAGACGGGGGAGCACGAACTCGACGAGGACGCTCAGGAAGTCGTACATCTGCGGGCCCCGGAGGTCGACCTTCACGCCGACGGGGATGCCGGGACGCACCCAGCCCTGCAAGTTCTTCCTGCCCTTCACCAGCTCGATACCCTCTGCCGTATGCTGCCCTCCAGCTCCCTCGTTTGCGCCCGAGATTGCACGGAGAGCCATGATGGGCCCGAGCAAGTTGACACGGCTGGCCGTCGCGGTCTTGATCATCGCGTGAATTTGGATGCGCTCCAGCTGGATGATGTTGTCCGGCGCCGAGGGCGGTGGTGGCTGCTTCGGCCAGCGGTTGCCACCGAGGGGCGGGTTGAACCGATGCTTCGTGTACGGGTCCTTCGGGTTGTACGCGAGACGGGCGGGGCGGGGTGGCTGGCGCGCGGTGGGTTCGTGCACGTACGTCATGTACATCATGTCGTCCTGCAGCGTGTGGAAGTAGTGGTCTGCGAGACGACTCCGGTGGGTGTCGCGGACGATGACATTGACGTGGGGGATGGGGACGCCCTTCTCGTCGCGCGGAAGCGGCTTGAGGGTGGGTGCTGGCTTCGTTCGACGCACACTACGGCCCGCCGCCGTCGCTAAGCGCGGCGTTCGCGCTGCTGCCTGGGCACTCATCTATTTCAAGAGTCATGAGACGACGTGGTGCAGAAACAGAGGTATGTTGAGGAGAAATACCTAGCGGTCGGAATTGGCGGTGTTGGGCAAGAAATAATTGAGCGCCCAAATCGCTGGCTGCTCGCGCACGAGGTCCCCGGACACTCCACTTCCTTAACCGGACTGAGCAGATCAGTGCTGATCAGTACTTGTGGCACCGTGTATGGACCCCGGAATGTGCATCCTTAATTTCTTCCTCCTGCCTCCCGCCATCTATATTTCTACTCGTCTTGGTCCTCTATGTGATCGTCTGCTTTTGGTCTTGATATCACGCTCATATCATGCATAGTCCTTGGCTGCTCTTGCACCAGATCAAAGGAACATGGATAGCCTCGGGGATCCGTCTCAGTGTCCTGTTCTCCCGGTGGAGGTATTCGAGGAAATCATCGATGCGGTAGGAGGATTCTGGAGACCTCAGCACACCCTGAAGAACTGTGCTCTGACTTGCAGAGCGTGGCTTCCGAGGAGCCAGCTCAACCTCTTTCGCTGCATAATCGTGGCCCCCACCGGAGCGGAACAACTCTACCGATTAGCCCACGTCCTGGATGTCTCACCCCATCTGCGAGAGTTCGTCCACGAAATTAAAGTCTCTATGAGCAAGCGTCAGGCGGGAAAGCAGCTCACCGGCAGAGAAGCGTTCGAGGTCCTCCCGATATTGCTCTCAGGGAAAGTACCTGCCCTGCGCGCCCTCCGCGTCTCTGCTATCAACAAAAACGCCTCTGCTCTTATCCTCTATCCCTCGTTCTTTGCTACGCTTCCCCAGCTCAAATCTATCACCACTCTCGAGTTATACCACGTCACCTTCGCTCGCTTTGGAGAGCTCGCGCGAATGCTCTCAATCCTAGCCAACCTTCGCGATTTAAAATGCGGCTACGTTCGGTGGCAATCCGCAGGTGTCTATCGATTTCCGCCGGGTTACTATGGCAGTTGTAGCATCTCTCATTTTCGCTGGGAAGGTCCCAAACCCAGCTCAGTATGTGATTTACTCCTCTTTGGCTGTCTGTACTCAATACGGTTTCGGCATCACAGAACGGAGCATCGATCCTGGCTCCGGGAACGGATGCACTGTTGACTGCTGCCCGCCTATCTATCGTCGACCTTAGTGTCGACGCGCACGAGTTCGGCCCTCGATGTGTGTACCCTAACTGGCCAGACTTACTCTATTAGCTTATATGGACCATGCGATCTAGCAGGACACTCGTTGTCATCGTTCCCCGCTCTTCGCGTCCTCCGGCTCAACTGGAGGCTCGGCCTGGACGACTCGCCAGAAGAAAACGCCGAGATAGCCGCGGCGCTTGCCAACAGCGGGAGCGCAACGCTGCGGCACTTCACTCTCCGCATCTCCATCCCCAGGGATCCAATCGTCTCATCGTCCAAGACCCACGACCACATCCAGGCCATCGGCCACGGACTCGACAGCAGCCTCAGCAGCGCGTCATTTCCTGCTCTCCAGGCCATCGTTATTCATGGCGGTCACGACCCGTGGTTATTCGAGCCGCAGTGGTGGTGGTCCGAGCTGGCGGCCGCGTTCCCGCGGGCCTACAAAAAGCAGATGCTGCATCTCTGTGGGACCAGACAGGATGTGAGTATTCAAACATACCGCTCGATGGCACGGTGGATTTTAACGCATTAGCCTCAGCTCAATTATAGGCGTTTCGTGCCGCAGGAGGTGGAACTGACTGTGGACGGACGACAAGTGCCGCTATAACCTCCGATTGATACGTAATCATACATTGCTACAGGACCAGGACAGTGCGTATCCTAGCTTATCTGCGACACGGGTACACCGCGTCACTTCATCCAAGGATACCAATGAACGGCTACATGGGAGGCCAATAGCGTACGACTACAATGTCACACCCGACGCATCCTTCCGTGGGCCCTTACAGCGGTACCGTGTCTTCTTCAATGACGTCCCAGTACAACGTATGCTTACAGTTCGGGTATATCTTGTCGGTTATGAGTCGATAGGTGTCGGGCGTCACCCCCTCATTTACGCGCAGGGAGCGCAGACCATGGCTGGGAGGATCCAGCGGCAGCTGCGCGACGTCCTCCGGGCGGACCACGACCCGTTCGACACGGAGTCTCGTCAGGCTCGGGCATTGTGCCGCGAGAGACTGGAGCCCGCGCAGGCCGATGTTGCATTCCGGAAGCGCCACGCCTCTCGACGCCACGATATCCAGCCGGGCCAGCGTCGGCCACGCTCGAGAGAGGGCGATGATATCGTCGTCGTCCGTGGTGTAAGGTGTCCGCAGAGTGCCTACGCGCACATCCTCCATGCGGTGGCGGAAAAATGGGCCGAGAAGATCCAGGATCGTGGGCGGCGACTCCTGTGGGCCCGATCTCGGCAATGATATGCTGAGCCAGTTCAGTGACGGGAAGACAGCCGCGAGGGCAGCGCAGCTATGGCGGAGCGTTGCGCTGTCGCGGTACTCCACTTCGTCTATGCGTAGGTATCGAAGGCTGCCAGAAGTAATCACTCTGCTCAGGGAGTTTTCGATGCGGCATTCGTGAATGACGAGGGATTCCAGATGGGGAAAGTCGACGACCGCGGGGAGCCCATCGCGACTGGGAAGGTTAGCAGGCTCTCCCCAGGAGGCCTTATGAGCCTCGTCCAGCTCGAGGGTCCCCACATTCGGCATGCCCGCTAAGGCTTTCAAACTGGGGCAGTCGATCAGACTCATGTCTGTGCCCAGTACGATTTGCTTCAACGTTCGGGGGAGATTTGGCGCGACAAGAGAGAGGGGGATGGCCACCAATGAGGGGGGAATGTCGCAGACGGTAAACGAGAGTCGCACAAGATCGCAGCGACTCGGCGCGAGTTGGGTCACCGCGTGGATCCATAACTTGATGCGTGCCGCCCATTCCACCTCGTTCTCTGCCGTCAGGTCCTCATGTGCGCAGTGGATGTACAGCTGGACGATAGAGGGGGACAGAAAGGCGACCAGACCCTCCGCGGATATCAAGTTACATGTCTGCCAGAATATTCCACGAACAGCGGGGAGCACAGGTTCGCCGCCAGCCAGTCGCCGTATCATCGACCAATTGGTCAAGCTGATATATTGCCGCTCCTCGTAATAATCCAGGATAGAAAGGTGCCGAACGTAGCGAGCGTATTTGCGCAGCCGGCTCCATTCGCGCAACGAGGCATCCGAGAGTTCCTAGGGATAGCGTGATCAGCACATTATACGGAAGCAACTGAGGACCAATGCCTGGCATGTTCTTTATTCACCATGACCTCGTTCTGCGGTCCTACATCCGCCAAGGATTGGACATGGCAGGATGGGATTAGACTGATTATGGCAGACAATTTGGGCAGTAGTCGCCACAACGAGCGAATGGCGGGCTCGTGAAACACCGTGCAGACGCGTGCTAAACTCGCCAACGTCAAGCGGTCCGTGAAGTTGAGACTGAAGATCTCATCCAGGACGTCTTCAGTGAGCAGGGCGCGATGAACAGGCATGCCGGAGCATGCGCTAGTGGTGGTACGGGGTAAAGAAGGGTAAAGAGCGTACATGCACGATCATCAAAAAAGGAAATCGGTCTCTTCGTCCACCACCGCCACCAGTGGACTGCGGACTCGAACTACATCTTTTCCCAGCACTCTTTGATCACCCAGGTTACTGCTTGAAGTTGGTCTGCCACTACACTGTTCAGATGAACCGCAATGCTCTCAGCGATTTTTTCGGCAAGATCACGACCCGTCGACGCGGTCCAGACGTCTCGAAAATCACACCGAGGTATGTTATATACGTCCTTCACATCGGTTTGTTTTAATCGAAAGGGCCGCGCTCATGTTCCCCAGCGCAACGTCGAATGTGTGGAACGCGGGCGTCGAAGTGCCTGGCCAGATGCGTATGAACACCATCGCTCCGGTCAACCGTCTTCCTCCAGAAATACTCTCTGTCATCTTCGACATATCCTCCATTCAGCCACTCGTGCACGAGCTCCCGCGTAAGGAGGAATGGGCCACAGCGTATCATTCCGCGAGGGTCCTGCAAACTCAAATCATGGCAGTATGTCGACTATGGCGAGACACCGCGCTCTCTACCAGCAGTCTCTGGTCCGACATAGCTTCTCTAACCACGGAAGGGTGTCCCACATCTATCCAACTATCCCGTGCGCAAGGCACTACGCTCTGCCTCTACAGCGGTGCAGGACATCGAGCCAAGGAGATACTTCCTGTGCTCGCAAGTCATACGCACCGCATCCGGGTTCTCTGGATCTGCGACGCGTGTGGTTCGTGGATACCCACAGAGGACATCCGGGATGTATTTCTCTCCTTTCCCGAGCTGGCGCATTGCATCGAGGAGATTACGGTGCATGCGAATAGCCCACCTACCTGGCCACTGGCAAAGACGCCCTCACCACCTCCCCGTACCCTGTTTTCCGGCTTCGCTCCACAACTGCGCGTGCTCAGGCTGACGTTGTCTTGTCTGCCCTTTATACCCGAGGACACGCTCCCCAATCTCACGGAACTCTATCTCGACAACGACTGTTATGTCACCCACTCCTCCCTACTTTTGATCTTGGAACGTGCGCCGATGCTGGAACAAGTATATCTTGCCACACCCATCCCTTGGTCCTCCACCAGTCCACCCCTTACAGGTCGTATCGTCCCTATGCCTAAGCTGCGCAGAATCACACTCGACGTCCAAGCGGATCCATCTCCCCTGCTCCGTGCCCTCGCCCTCCCTCCCTCTTGTCTGGTCAAACTCACACTCAGCGGAGCGAGCGACGTGCCAGGCTGCCTCGCAGCCCTCGAAGGCCAGCTGGACTGCAGCCAGCTGACGAGGCTATCCCTCAACGTCGACTGGCACCCAGAGCGGGAGAGCGGCGACGTGGTCCTAATCACCACCGTCTGCAACGCTTCCGCCACCCAGGGCCTCGCGCTCAGTGTCCAGTGCGACGGCCGCGGCGGCTCGAGCTCCATCCCCGTTCTCCGAGAGACCCTGACCACCGCGTTCCGCACGTCTCCGATATACGCAGACGTCCGAGAACTGACCGTCTTCGTCAACCAACGCATCGTCGACGCGGCGTTCCTCGACAGCCTTCCCCGCCTCACCACGCTCAACCACATCTTCTGCCGCCCGCCGCCCACGTACTACGAGATGCTCGAGGGCAACTACATCTCCCGCCTGATGCAGGTATCCCCGGACGGCCGCGTGACGTGCCCGAGCCTGACCACGCTGTACTTCATCGACTGCCCCTTCGACGCGCTCGCCGACGCGCGCGCGATCCTCGAGTTCCGCAAGCAGCACGGACGCCCGCTCACCCGGCTGGGCATCGACTGCAGCGTCGCGCTCAAGCATGATGTACGCGCGCTGGGGAAGCGCGTGAAGGAGCTCGACGTCAATTTCTGCGACGTGCCCGGATACGAAGGGGGGCTGGACGTCGCGCCGGAGGGAGGCTGGCGCGGGCACTCCGCGCGAGCGCGTCGTCACTGGCCCCCCTAGTGACCTGATTATGCGTAGTATGATAATGTATACTCGGATATGTCAGGCGTAAGCCATGTTCGGATTCCGGGCCTGGTCATGCAGGCATGCCTCCGAGGAGCTCGAGCGCATGTATAGAATGAACGAACAAGGAGAAAGACTTCTTCAGTAGTAGAGGTAAGCGAACACGCGCGTCCATTCACGCACTCACGTAAGTACATAACGGGGCAATGCAAAGTACTGTGGGGGGTGAGAGAGGGGACCAGTGACGGGGGCAGCGCGACAGTAGCAGCAGTGGTGCGGTAATAAGGGGTGGTGATATGCTTAGGGTACCGTGGGTATGATAAAACGAGCGATGGGGGCTTCCAGGGTTCCGGAGGGACGACGATATGACGCAAACGATGACCAGCGAAGGCGAAGCGAATTGAGACACGAATAAGTGAGAAGAACGATGCGGGAATGCAATGCGGTCGTACATGTTGATTAGGCGGGGAAGAGGAAGGGGCTTCACGACGACTACGACGCGCCCCGGCGGGCTGCGGCGGCCTGTGCGGCGAGCGGTCCGCGCGGGGGCGGGGTGAGACAGAGAGGGAGGGGGCGGGCGCGAAGTGCGCCGAGGGGTGAAGAGTACGTACTAATAGTGACAAGTGCGGTGGAAAGACGACAAGCATAACACATGAGGAATGCAACGGAAATGCGAGAGAATGATGGAGAAACCGAGTAGAAGAGATGCACGGGAGGCGGCATATCGCCTCGCGGCAGTGTGTGTGCAAGCACACCGGCCCGACATATCACATAATGACACACTTGCAGCAACCCCCGCCGGCCTCGTCCTCCTCCGACAGATGCTTGCCCTGTGGTTGCATCGTGTCCATGGGCTGCATTGTCTGTGAGGATGGCCGATGGTCGTGGTCGGATTGTGCGTAATGCGCGAACGGTGGTGGTGATGGTGCACGGTTGGTGCGGTCGAATGACACTGGCGTAAGGGGAGGAATGGGGGACGGTGGATGCGAGTGCACAGTGAGCTCCTTCCGCGGTGACAGCTGTCGTTCTGGCTCTGGCCTTTGCCCGAACTCGTCCATTGGGATTTGTTCTATTCCTCCGCTCTGTCGTCTGCGGTACTTAGTGGCATCGTACCCGAATGTGCCGGGAGCCTAGTGCGCGGATGCATTAGCGCAATCCTCCCTGCACTATTGGCGAAACCTACCGGTTCGTAGACAACAGGTTCCGGCTCTCTTGGCTTCGGGCTCCCGTCCGCTGTCAAGAACTGGCCATCAAGACCCTTCTTCCGAGCGACGACAGGTAGGACGACCTGCGTTCCATGTCTTGGTCAATCCCGGTACCAATGCAAAGAGACGCATATGCTCACTTCATCCCAATTCCCGTTTGCAGTCACCGGCTGAGTCCATGTCGGAATAGCATCCTCATCACCATCCGCCATGGGATACTGCCCTATGGATCTCCGGTTTTCCTCCTTCTGGTTTGGTCTCTTCTGCATGGAGGATGGCGGGGACTTCGCCTTGGCCTTCTTCGCGGCTGATGCTGATGCGGCGTTCGCAGGGCTTTTGGCTCTCCGTTTCGCAGTGGGAGTCTGCTGGGCTTGGGAGGTGTTTGCTCTCGGCTGGGAGGCTGAGCGAGGGAGCTTCGGGGTGGTAGTAGGCGTGGAAACCCCACTCTCTGACCCACTTCGGGTAAACTTGCTGGGAGTAGCGGTTTGGGTGGATGGGGATGGGCGTTGTGAAGGCTGGGGTATTCGACTACGCGCAGTGTTCTGTGTAAAGCGACTGGTGGGGGTGTCGCTACGGTCAAGTGACGGGGAGGAGGCAGAGCCGTTAGGGTGTGGCTGGACCAAGTCAGTATAGTACTCTTCGTCCTGGTCATCGTACCCGTGGTCCTCGAGATCCGTCAATGGCCGCTCGTCCAACACCATCCCTGCCTGCCCTGCGCCCTCGTCCTCGTCCATGTATATGCTCTCCCTCGCCCCGACACTTCCCGCGCGTGGCCGTGCTCGCCCGTTGACCATTTCCCTCCCCCGTGAGCTCGACCGCGAGCGCGTCGACATGCCGCCCGGTACGTGTGTGTTGGACGCCTTCCGAAGCGTGTGGCCGTAGGTCGCTATATCGAGCATCTCCTGGCGACGAGCCACGCGCAGCTCGCCCACGCCCCCATTCCGCGCCACATCCCCGCGGTACCAGTGCTCGAAGGGATGCTCGTCCGACTCCATGGACATGCGGTCTGGGGTTTGACGGCCGAAGTCGATGTTGCTCTGTGAAGAGGAGAGGGAGTTCGGGACGAAAGGCGCCTGCTCGTTGAATATGTCAGACACCTTGTGCCGCGGCACGCGCACCGTCGATCGCGACGTGTGTGATTGCATCCTCTCGTCCACCGGCGTCAGTGGCGGCCCCTCCAGCTCTCCGTTCAGTCGTCCGTTTGGCCGGCCGTTCGTCGCGCTATATGTCGAGTTGGCCTGGCTGGAGGTGCTGCCGGTTCGCCGGCGCGATACCGGGATGCGAGTGCCTTTCGGCGCGTTCGCAGGCGAGATAGAACGTGTATAATCAGAAGGAGGCGAATCTGCGGGATTTGGGAGGTTTAGGGAATATGGCTGTGACAGAGCGCGGGCGCGCTGGAATGTGGGAGGATAAGCACCAGCGCCATAGCCGGCCGGGGGAGGGTCGGGTCTTGCCTGCTGCAAGCTGGGGCGGGGGATGGCGCTGGGTCTTGATTGAGAGGGTCCGGGGCTTGGGCTGGTAGCGTAGTATTGGCCGACCAGGTCCTCATTGGACGTGATGGATGCAGCAGAGATACGCTTGGAAAGAGCGTTGCTCTCGTCTCTCAGACCTGGGGGCAAGTTCAAACGTCATTCGCGCGTCGTGCGCATAGTGTGGCTCACGTTTGCGGAGGGCAGGCACAATAATCTCGTCCCATGCCGGTTCTCGATTCAGAGGGAAGGCCGATTGAGCGGTCGCGGTCAAGGCCATGGGTCGAGATGAGGGTCGGGGAGAAAGCGAAACAGCGTGGGGACTGCCTTCAGAAACGAAGAAAGGAGGGAGGCGAAGAGCAGCAGGTCGTCGGTGGTCGTCGTGGTCGTCGTTGAAGGCGAAGAGCCCGACGTGCAGTAGCCGAAGCGCGCGGTTTGTCCGAGTTGATTGATCACCTATATCGCAGGCTTACAACACTAATGATTGACTTCAAATGGTCTGATAAGCAAAGCGTAACCCCACTATATTCTGAACCCAATCACCATCACTCCGGATGTGCGCAGTTCCACGAGTTCGCACCAAAACGTCGAATCAATTCCCAGTACTGATTGACAAAATACTACATATATTAGGCCAGATTTAGGTATGAGTGTATGCGCGGTATGTGGTGGTTAGATGCGAATGACAATGCAGGGACATGCGATGTATGGACCAAAGGAAAGTGCAGGATGACGATGATATGACCTCGAAAGCAAATGAATGTAAGAGCTACCAGAACCGACACATGGAAGGGGACCTAAGAAATAGATTTACATACGACTATCGCCGCTCCGACCCCTGCCAGGGGATCTCATTCAACTGGTGCCGCGAGGGCCTTCCATTCCCTGTGGCGTTGCGCCCCGACGCGCGTACCCCGTTCGTAGTCCCCATGCTGCTCATGCTGCTCGGGGGGTTGCCAGCGAGCGACTCGGAGGCGTGGCGGCGCATGCGCTTCGGCGCGATGGCCTTCGCGGACTTGGGGGTGTCGATGCCCTTTGCGAGCCGCGCGGACGGCTTGAGGGCCGGAGTGAGGGTTGGGACGATCTCGCGCGCAAGCTCCCGAACAAGCACCGCAACGTCTTCCTTGCTGAGTTTGGCAACGATGTCGTAAATGCCGTAACGCTCCACGAGCATCGCGCGGTTGGGGTGGACGTCGCACACCGTCCGCAGGATACGGAGCAGGTTGAGCCGCACAACGGCCTTGCTCGAACCCAGCTTGTCGATGAGCCGCTTGAAGAACTGCGACTTCGCGATCCCGATAGTGATGTTGGTGGAGATGCGGAAAATCTTCAGGAAGGGGTCAAGCAGGTTCTCGAAGGAGTTGGCCTTGGCCGACACGAAGCAGCGCAAGAGGGCGTCCAGCGAATCCGCCTTCATCAGCTCGTCTTCTATCCTAGCCGTCTCATCTTGCAACCTGGCAACTCATCAGCTGCGCCCACAAAGAATCACAGCGGAGACCACAGCGAAGACGTACCAGGATAGGACAGCCTCGAGCGAGCTGACCTGGAAGTACGGGTCTTCCAGAAGACGGAGATACATTGACAACCCGTCGTGTTGCCACAGCAAGATCCGGCAACTCTTGCCCGCACTGGCGAGGTCGCAAAGGATTGGGAGGGCGAACTGCTTGAGCGGCGAACTCGACTCGATGACCCGCTTGAGGCTCGGGATGATGCCAGCCTGTGTCGCTTCCTCTTGCCTCGACTTGTTGAGCCGGCAGAGGTTGTAACACGTCTGGAAGATGTGGTTCGACATTTCCTGTGTCATGATAATCGTAAGCTGACGTTTCATGCGAGGATGGACGTAGCACGTACAGTCCCGTATGGGCCGGAGCTTTGTTCGTCAAGAATCTTGACCAAGATCTCGATGGCATTCGCGTTCTGCAGGACTTCGAGCAGATTGGCGTTCATAGATAGATGCTTGACAGCCTTGAGCATCTGGACAAGGTATTCCGGCTGCAATAGCTCGCATGCCCTGAGCAGGCCTGATTGCACGATTCATCAGTTACTCGTTGGTGATGACATAAAAAATCACGCACGTCGCACAACTTTGCGCGTCCCAAGCGCGTTCCGCACGTGGATATCGGACTGCGAGACCTGGCAGAACACCAGCAGAATCTGGATGATCTTCTTGTTCATGTCCGCAGCGGCGTCTCCGCGACTGGACATGACGTTCAGCAGAGCCGAGGATAATGGGTCGAGGAGGCCTTCTCGGATGAACATGCGACAGAAGTCGTTCTTCGTCGTAGGGCTCTGGAGGTCGAAGACGCTGCAGATGCCGTTCAATGCATGAACGACGAGTTCAGTCTGTTCCGAGTAGTCCTCGTCCAGAAGATCCACAAGAACTTTCAGACCACGACATCTGCCAGCAATGAGCGTCAGCGTATGCGCGAGTGTATAAGTAGGACTTTGGAGCGTACGAGATGAACATCTGCAGCGTGAGGACCGAGGAATGGCAGAGCAAGCGAATGAAATGCGAAGCCTCTGACCGGCATTCTGAAGGGTACTTCTTCGACGTGAAGCCTGGTCATCTAAGGTAAGGATTAAGCTCAGAGGAGGGAAGTCGCACACATACCCATGACCACTGGGATACCTCTTTAAAAGACATCAGCGACTTGATATCCCGTATGACGAATGCAAAGGCCTACCCGATCAGACAGAAGCTCTCCAGGAAACCCATATCAGTCGTGACGAGCGCGTTGATGATCTGCAGCAGCTTGAGAGTAACGTCCCGGGACGTCCGCGACTCGAGCACCTCCAGAATGGCCAGCATCCCATGCGCAGAGACCAGCTGCGACTGCATCTCTGGCGTGTCGTGTATGATATTGAGCTATCAATTCGGTCTTCAGTACCACGCGATATGCAAAACGAAAACGGGCGAGATACTGACAAGCTGGTCGCAAGCGTCCCGAAGCTGGAAGTCCGGCGCAGACGGGGTGAGCTCGTCGATGAGTTGCGTGACCGTATTGCACAGCCGTGCGTATTTGTCGCGCTGCAGGTTTGCCTCGAGGTCTTCCTCTGCGTAACCCTCGTCGATCTGTGCAAGACGTCAGTCCGCGCATGCGAACGAGCCTGGAGTTCGACGAACCTCGGCAAACGGATCCTCCTCGTCATCTTCGTCGCCCAGCTGCAAATGCAGTTAGTCGCGACGTTCTATAGTCCACACGACCGAGACAAGACACCAACCCACGACTTGTTCGACAGCCTCGTATTCAGTTGCAGAGTCTGCATCGGCTGCGCGGACGTTCCGTTCGCCTTCCCGAACACGTCCTCGTAGTCCTCGTCATCGTCTTCGGCGTACTTCCCGAAGTCGCTATGCAGCCGTTGCGCCTGAGCACGCCCGAAGGACTCCGAATTTGCTCCCACAAACGACGACGACCGGGAATGCGCCCTCGCTGAAGACGGCCCGCTCGATGGATGTGCAGGAGACACAAGAGGGCTAAGCGACGGGCGTGATCGCCTGTGCGAAAGGTCGGGGAGTGGCGCAGTCATTGGACCGGGAGAGGGAGCACCCAGGCCGACCGTCTTGATGTCGTCAGGGTGGAAGAGCCCCCGCCTGAACGAGTTCTTCATCTGTGATGCTAAAGTGAGCCACTAAGGGCAGTTTGGAGCACGACGGGACTGACCCTGAAATCGGCGACCTTCTCCTGCAGCTTCTCGTCGTCCTCGTCGAACGCGATGTCGGAGTAGTCCTCCACTATGGGCCCGATCTGCGGCTCCGGTGCCTTCGAGACCGGGAGTGGAGTGCTCCTACCAAGACCCTGTGGGCTACGCCCAGGTCGAATAGTCTGCGCGTTGTCATCTGCCTCGACCTTCTCCTCCTCCGCAGGCGTCTTCTCCAATGCTAGCACGCCGTAAGTATGAGTGACTCGCATGTGGAGTGAAAGGGATATCCTACCGTGCAGCTTCGTGAGCGAAATACCCTCCTCGAAGTCGTCATCCCAATTGTCCGTTTGTTCTTCTGGCTGCTGCAGGACAAAGGGCATTGGTAACGTCTCCCGAATGTGACCCAGAGCACCGGCTACTGGCGGAACCTTCTGGTTCGGCAGGGATCCTGGCTTGCGCTGTGCGTGGAGCATCGACTGCTGTGGCACGCCGAGTGAAGACGCAGCCTGGACCGACGATATCATATTCGTCGGTGACGGTAAGGGAGACAGCGGACGACCCGTAGCCGACAGTTTGCGATTGCGCTCCGGGTGCTTCGACGGTTTGGAGGGGGCTAGGAGGTCGGGCATTAGTTCGATATATGTGCTCACCTATGCACGTAGCGTACGCGAGCTTACATTTGAGTGCTTCGTTCCACTCCTGTACCTTGAGGACGGCCTCGTCGTAGTTGTAGTTGCTCGTGGGCCGCTTCTCGACACCGTTGCCCGCCCCTTCCGCCGCTCTTTGATGCCCCGCCATCTGTCTCCGCGCCGCGAGCATCCATGGATGCCTGAGGAGCTTCTTCGCCGATATACGCAAGTTGCAATCCTTCTGGAAGCAATGATACAGAAAGTCCTTGACGATAGGGGAGGCACCTTCCGGTATTGGAGGGCTATCGTCGTTCACGATGCGGAAGAGGGCGGGCATTGGATCCAAAAAGTGGTATGGCGGTTTGCCTTCCAGGAGCTCGATGACCGTGCACCCTACACTCCTGTATGCTCGTTGAGCATCGTGTATGCGCAGCACTCACGAGCCACTGACCAGATATCCGAGGCAGTCGTTGCTCCAGACTGCTCGATCACCTCTGGTGCCACTGTGAAAGAGTCAACACGCGGGGACCAGTATGCGCAGCAAATGAATGCACGAACTCCAGTATGGACTTCCCACAACCGCGTCGTCGCGTACGGCGCCTGCGGTCGTGCTACTGGCAACACCAAAATCCGCTAACTTGACACAACCGTCCTTGTTCGTGAGGATATTCGCGCCCTTGATGTCACGGTGAATAACACCTTGGTCGTGGAGATACACGAGCCCTTCCAGGATTTGCGCGACGTACACGCCGACCAGTGTTTCCGGGAACTTCCCGAATTTCTTGCAAATGTTATGGAGCGAGCCATTCTCGCAGAATCTACGCATGTCAGTCCTAGTGAGGTTGGGCCGGACAGCGTATGAAATGACGTACTCTAGAATAATGTACAGATACTCCCGCGTCTTCTCAAAACCCTTATACTTGACGATATTCGCATGCTGTGAATTCGCGGTGATCAGCATGGGTGTCAAGTTAAGGTCGAATACTGGGTTCCTGTCTTGCAGGTACGCGTAGTGAAGCGCGGAGCGATCATGCGGGGTGTTTCAGGTACGCGCAATGTATATTTCAGAGGAGAGACCCTATTCAACGTCTCTTCGTCAGGCACGCGGCCAAGAGGTTGTGGTGAATGGGCACGACGTGGATTACGCGTTCAAACGCGTCGCGCATCTTGATTACACGGCTTCTCCCCGGGACGACTCCCACTGTGGCCACCCAGTCGCAGTAGGACCCGGACCTCACTTCAGGCGGCGTATACTCCTCTGCCGGGGGCGGAATGGACTCACATTTAAGTTCTTGAGCAGATCGATCTCGGACTGTGGGACGCGTCCGGAGTCAGACCTTCATAATATAGCAGCGTACATGAGGGCCACGCACCATGATCTGACCAATCTCGCTCTTGGGAATGTTACTGAGCTGAATCTCCTTGATAGCGACCGTTTCTCCCGTAGCCCAGTTCAGGGCACCTGTACACAAAGGCTTCAGTGGTTGAGTTGCGACTGTGGCTGAACGCGGGACGCACGGTAGACCTGGCCGAAAGCTCCCTTTCCCAAACAATCTCCCAATTGCTGCGCAATCCAACATGAGCGTCCATAGGCCCCAAACCACCAGTAGAACAACAGAGACGAACATAGGCATTGAGCAGTTTGTTCGAACCGGAGCTGGATGGCGTTGCGGGCATGGCGGAAGTCGTACTAGGGAACGTGATGGGTAGCGAAAGAGAATGATCGGACGTGTCGAGACGATGGAGATGTAGTCGGAGGCACCGCTCAGCACACGACGACAGACATGGACTGTCGGTCGTTTGAGCGGCGGGTAGTTGGCAAGAGAGAGACAGTTTAGCTCCTCCTCCGAGCCCAGTAACCGCGTCGCAGTGCCAGGGGGCTGCCACCTCAATGGCAACAAAGCTGAATACGGTCTCCAGGGTCTTTCCGCCACTCGTGCGACGCGACGCCACAGTACATCCTGCTTGTCCACTACCCTCACTATGCCTCAATTGCAGGCATCTAGCGAGCAATCACCAACCTGAGCTCTAGATTAGAACGTATATGCACCATCAAAAAAAAGTAGGAGCTCACAATGGTGTTGTCTTAGGCCCATCGATGATCCTGGAACTCTAAGCGCCTCGCTTCGAGGCCACTATATAAACCATGCACGGTTTAGCATGATTCCGGTCTCGGAGTTCACTCTCAACCACCACCAACACCACCGCCACTCCATCAACGTCTCCCGCCACCATGCAGATGCCCTGCGAAGTTTGCTACGAGGACGCGACGCGTGTCTGCTCCGCTTGCAAGTATACGCGGTACTGCTCGTACGTCTTGTGATCGGGCCAGATTGCCTCGACGCGTCTGCTGATAACACATCGCGCAGGGAGGCATGCCAGAAGGCGAACTGGAAGACCCATAAGAAGGGTTGCGAGATTCAGCAGATGCTGAACAGGATGAACGAAGAGCATGCCGCCGCCCCGCGTGCACGCCCCAACCCCAAGCGCTGCACCGGCTGCAACGTGAGGTTCACCGAAGACTACCCATGCGATGGTGAATGTCCCGACTGCGGGTACGTCGCATGCGAGTCCTGCATATGCGACAACAACAATGGTATGGGTTCACCCTAATGCCGCGTCTAAGCCTCGAGAGCTCAATTTGACGACAGGGACGTGCTACTGCCCGAATTCCAATTTCGGCAACAAGTACTGCCAGATGGAGCCGCGGTATTACCACACGGACGGCAATGGCAGGGGGTACGGCGGAGACCGTCACCCCGAGCTGTTCCCCGACGAGGCGTACCCGGAGGACTTCTATGAGCCGGAGCCGCGGGCGTGCAACAACTGCGGGGAGGTTGCAAAGCTGCTCAAGAAAGAGTATTGCCGCGAGATCCGGTTCTGAGTGAGCCGCCCGTATCCTTTGTTTTGATATGACCTGCATTGTTGTACCTGCTTGTGGATATCTTTCACTCTATTGCTTTATCTTGGAATTTTATCTTCGATCTGGACATTGCGTGGAAAAGGGGATGAACCATTCCGAACGTCTCGCGGGTCTCGATCCAACAGCCGTCAACGCCGTCAGTGCATACTCTCCCTCTGAATGTGCAAGCTTCGGCTTTCAGATCTGTTACTGAGTCGCGGAAGCATTGGGAGGGGTAGGTCCAGTCCCCGGTGATGCGAGTCGAAGATCGACGGGTGGCGCTGGTCGTTACTACATGCTACACGCAAATGGACTCCGTTCATACACGCTGTTGGCCTTACCGTGGGCGGGCGTAGGCGTTCGCATTGCCGTCATTTTGTACGCACGGACGGTGCCAGGGCGTGCACGTAGAGCAGATCGAGATGGGAACATAGTTATACAACCAAGAACGGTCCAACACAAAGCTATCGACGATGTAGCGAGAGAGTACGCGGACGAGACTACGTATCAGCGTGGGGGTCAAAACAGCGTAGGCACCGAGCCACCGGGAACGTATGTAACGAGACGATGGGGGCGACGCAGCAGCGGCGTATGGATCGTAAACGGGACCTCAAGAAAACGCGAGCGCGAATACAACGAGACGTCGAGGGAGAGATCGAGATGCGAAGCAGATACGTAACGAGACAGAAATATGAGAGACGCGGGGCGAGGAGCGAGGGCGGCAGGGGTGGATATTGTACCAAGGGAACACGGCGTGTATGTAGCAAATACGGGTACATCACAACGAGAGTGTCGGGTAGCAAGACACGGTCCGGGAGAAGGCCTCCTGGGGCAGGTACTCCTGGGGAGCCTCGGGGCGCGCTCTTGATTTCGCTGCAAGAGCGGGGCGGCCCCCGGTGCGCGGAGAGGGGCGAAATAGGGCGATGCGGGAGTCTCGTGGAGGCGGGTGATTGCTGTATCTCCTGTTACACGCTGCGACCTCCCAGGAACGTCGTGGCAGCCATCACCTCGGCGTGGAAGGAAGGGCCTGATATGGGCGGTGTGGTCGGAGCGTGATGGGGCATGGACTGTGTAGCTATCGAAGTGATTATGATGTGTGTAACATTAGCTATCAGTGTGTCGTCAAACAAGAAGGAGAGCATCACCAGACTAAGCAGCGCCTTCCAAGTCGTCCAGCGAGTCGCTTCCTGGATCGCGGGCAGCGCCCGAAAGAGCCTGAGCGTCGACTTGCACGGCCGGGTCTGAGGGCTGGACTGGGGCTCTTGAAGGGGCAACCGGCTCCGTCGCTGACAATGGGGCCGGGGGTATCTCGGCGGATGTCCTGCAGGGACAAGTCATATGAGCAGCTCGCCACTGATTGAAGATGACGCCGGAGTACTGACGTCGCATCGAGATTGCATTCGACGCTAGCAGTACGGGTTGCCCTGAGCGCGCGTGCGCGTGCAAAGCTTCGAAACCCGTACTCGAGCAATAATGGCCTGTAGCCGAAGTAGCCACTAGGTCTCTTCATCAGGTCGAGGATCTCCGTGTCGAGTTCATCTGGGATGCATTCTTCCAAAGCAATGCCGTCCAGGTGGAGAAGATTTTGCCTGATATTGTCGAGGTACTGCGAAACGATGGTTCTTCCTGCGCATTCTTGCGTAAATAACTTGAACTCTGGCAATGCACGAGTTAGCTCGGTGAGAACATCCCGCGTGTGGTCGCGAACGGTCGTCAAGATGTCGGGGACCTCCGAAAATCTCGAGGCATCAGCTTTGGCGCAACCCAGGAAGTAGTCCACAGTTTCCAGGTAACGCGTGTGAGCGTCCCTCGCCGAGTCGTCCGAAGAGGCTTTCAAAGACGCCTGCGTCAGGTGCGTCAGATGTTCCCGCCGGAGACGGACTTGATCATATGCCCAGGTCGTGGCTTGTCAGACGAATATATTAGTGCTCGCAAAGCTGCATAGTAGAAAGGCTGTAAGGCAGCACAAAATGTCATCAGTGTGAGCGGCACGCATGTAAGTATAAGTGACGGATAGGTACTTACGTCTTACTGGGCTTGCCACGTTTGACGCGATCAATGTTCCCATGGAGGCTGCGTGCGCAACGTTGTATACTGTTCACCCAATCATCGTCGGCGTAGTGATTGGCCGTTGCGAGTTTATCTGCTAGATCCAAGATCTTCGGGACGAGTTCATCTGAAATGCATTCCACCACACGAGTGTCGTCAAGGTTGCGAAGCTTCCGCATGACGTCGTCAAGGTATGTTGAAGCGACGGCTCTCTGCATCCGGTCCTCCACAAACAGCTCCTGCAGTGTGTCAGTCAGCTTGGTGAGAACGTCTTGCGTGTTCTCGCGGGCGGTCTCTAGATCCTTAGGAGAGGATCCTGATGATGTCGACTCCACATGATTTGCGCACTCCAGGAAGTAGTCCACACTTTTCAGGTAACACGTGTAAGTGGCCCTCGCCTTCGGGTCCTCAGAAGACGTCGGCAGTGTGAGATACCCCCGGCACTGGAAAACTTGACGGTATGCCCAAATCGCAACTGGTTTCGGTAAAGAGATTAGTACTTGCATAGCTGTATAGAGGGGCTCTAAGGTAACACGAAAATCATCAGTATAGGAGCCTCGCATCTGATTCGAGGTGATGTCTGAGTACTGACGTCGCACCGGGATTGCATTTGACGCGAGCAATGTTCGCTTTGAGCGTGCGTGCAGAGTGTTGAATCTCGTCCGCCCAGCGGCCGTAGTAGTAGTTCGCGGCCGTTGTGGGTGTCTCCGTCAGGTCCAAGATCTCCGGGACGAGTTCATCTGGGATGCATTCTTCCACACGAGTGTCGTCCAGGTTGCGAAGCTCTCGCATGATATCGCGGAGATACATCGAATCGATGGTTATCTCCGTTACCTGGTCTTGATTGAAAAGCTCGAGTAGAGCGTGAGTGAGCTGGGATATAACATCCCGCGTGTATGCGCGGGCGGACTTCTTGTGGTGAGCATCGATGTACAATGTCAACGCACGGCTCGCGTACTCCAAGAATTCTTGCCAGAAGCTTTGCAGATGACTCGTGTCGGGGGCCCCAGTGGCGTCGTCCGAGGGTGTCGCCGTAAGGCGCTGCTGCTTGAGGCGAATGCGACGATATACACCGGCGATGACTTACGAAGTAAAGAAGTCAATACACGCAAATCTCCAAGGAGGGAGCACACTCACCTCGCTGCAGGACGGTTATCAGCGGTTCGTGCTTGCGGGAAATCGCACTTTCAATCAACTTCGCCCTTACCGTTCGGAGTCTATCCAGTGAGCCAATGACCCTCTCCGTCAAATCGGTCCCCTCGCTTTCGAAATAGTCGGCTAGTGTATCGAGTGCAGATGCAGCCCACACGCCGTCGGCCACCTGCATACTGGACGACCACGTTCCGGAGCAGAAGTAGACACGCAAGGCAGTCGCTTCCTCGTTTGTTAACGGGAATTGGGGGTGAGGTTGACTCTGCGACGCCATAGGTGCCTTGTGGGTCAGAGATACACAGAGGACGACGCGGAGCCACAACATCTGCTGTTGACCCAAAATCCCGAGGTGATTTTCCATCGCGGTAGGGGGGACAGGGTGGCTGTCCGTCGCGGTAAGGGGGCCGAGGTGCGTTTTGGCGTACTTGTACAGCAGACGGAAGCAGCGGATAGTATCGTCAGAGTCGGAACCCATCAGACACAGGGTTACGTTATAGAGGGCGTGAGGATGTAGGGTGATTCTGTATACTTCGCCAAGGGTCTCCACGTCCAACTGGCCTCTGTTGCTGTAGATGTGCACCCGTTCTTGTCCCTGCCATGTTTGTTTAGGCTTGGGCTTTTTGAAGTGTGACCGGAAGCGTGACATTAGCAAGGAGGAGGGCGAGGGAGGCGAGGGAGGCGAGGGAGGCGAGGGAGGCGAGGGAGGCGAGGGAGGCGAGGGGGAGGACTCTTCGCCGGCCATGCCGCAACAGAAATTTGCTAGAGCAGAACACGTTAGGTACATGAGTCGCTTGGGCTGCAATTTGTAAATCGCGCGGACCAGGGGAGAGAGGTAGGCGCATTGATGGTCCCAAAGAGGGAGAAACGTGACAACGGTGGTGAAAATGGCAAGAAATCCCACAAGTGTCGATACGATAGCGGCAACAGTGTTGTGAAGGTTCCAGAGGAAGATGAGGAGCCCAGTGAGGAAGCAGATCAGGGAGAGCTGCAGGAGGACGGGAATGGTGTTGACGAGCTCTTCTACGTGCCACGCCTGAAGGTTATTGAGGCGATACTGGCGCACGCGAGCAGCATGGCGCGAGGTCTCGGAGACGCCGCTGCTGTATTCGTTCAGCCACTGTTTGGACATGAGCCCCATCGATGCCGCAGTGAGACTGAGGACGAGTCCGGAGAACCATAATACATTCAGCCACACGGCCCAGCGCAGGGTAGCAGGCTCGGTGTCCGCGTTTGGGCTGTTGATGTTCGATGGTTGGGTGGAGTTGATGAAGGATTGGTTGATAGAGAAGCTGTCCAACTTGCTCGATATCTGTTGCAGTAAGGCGATTGAGGGATCGGGTGGGTTTAGTAGGGTGTACGCTGGCACATTGAATGCCGTGAGGATGGCAGAGAATAGGCCAGCCTAGGATTTTTTTCTTTCTCTTGAGTACGTGATCACAGACTCAGGTGGGGCACGCAACGTACGAAAACCAGGTATGTGTCGATTTCTTTGATCATACGCTTGATCTTCTTGTCACTATATGTTTCAACCGTCTTCGCCACCTCCTTCCATGTTTGCGTCTGTTGATCATCCGGATACAGTTCTTTCCATTTCTCATTTACGTCCTAGATGGCGGTTGGACGGAAGGCAACACCGCAATATACAGCCGACGCACTTCGATAGTATCTGCTTTCAGAATCTATGAGAGTGAAATAATCAGATGTTGACAGAGAGTGCGATCGGCAAGGCACTCACAGCGGCATTATCAGCTGCTCCAATGGAATTCTCTGCTGCAGACAGCTCGGCGCCGCTCGCGGAAGGTAACCGAGTTGGTGAGCCGGGCGGAAGCGGGTCCGCATGGTGGGGCTCAGACATAGGGAAGCAGCCGTAGAGGCCTGGAATATGTGGAGCAAGCGACAAGGGCTGAGCTGAAGGGAGAGCTGTGGCTCGTGCGGGCCTATATAGGGCGAGTGAGAGACAGCGCTCGAAAGCTCGCCTCGTGTACTTCGATTCCATATAAGATGTCAGTTTACGGTTCAATCCACCTGCAGCTCGGCCTTCCTCCTGCCACGCTGATCAACGCGGCAGACGCTGCTGGAATGCCTACACTCCAGGGTGGTAGATCGGGGCTTGCCACAATATTAATCAGCAAATAGCATAATGTTTGAGGAATGGTTTGCAAACGTACTATTCGGACTAGAGGGTTGCCCGAGCATGGCCACCTTTACGCGTACTTCGTCAGAGACCCACAGAATGCGCGTCGGCGGTTTTCACATGCATGTACTATATCTGTTGGAATGGATTGAGCTTGCACGTGTAACACCACAAAGCGGCAGGGCGATAACACAGCACCTCACCTCCCAGTGTAAAGAGCCTCGCGTTGTCGAAGATCGGATTGTGCTCTCAATAGCCCCATTGGCTCTCTACCTAGCAGGCTTCTTCTGTCTCACGGAACGCCACACGGAGCGCGTGGTGGAATAACCTAGTGCCCAATATCAACATAGGAAACGTCTCTGTGTCAAAGTGGTACTTGCCTTGCCATCGTGAATGCGAGTTGAGGGAGGGCACCTTGTGGAGGCACATTGCGTGGCGTCGCGTGCCTGCTCGTTCACAAAGTAGCGCTTCTGTAAACCGATGGAACACGCCACCGTCTGTTCGCGTTCCACCTCGAGGCGGCCGTGTGAGCGGGATGTACGGAAGTGCGTTCGAAGGTGGGTCCGGATGAGCACATAGGGATGTTGGCGAGCCTGGCATTACGCGCCGTCGGCAACGAGGCAATGTCGCCGTTAGCGGGGCTCAAGGACGATGTCCAGAATGTGACACACGCGGGGAAGCACGTACGGAGGACCTGCCTCGAGGCCAGACGGGCTACAATTGACAGTGTGGCGTGCGCGTCGTACCTATTAATCGCCAGGACACGTCCGTGCGACGTGCCATGCCCGCCATACACGCTCTGGTAGGGTATGTACAACGTGTAGAGGTCATCCATGAGGGTGGTACACCGTGCGGGCCCATGTTATCGTCCAAAACGTAGAACTATCAGGTGGATGAGTTATGAATACGAAGCGCTAATCATACGCACTTACAGCTCGATGCAAACCACTACTCCAATCACAGCAGTTTCGTACACGAGCTTGGTATGGAGGACCCGCTGACTGGCCAAAAGGATGGCGCCCGCAGCGAGGGAGACGGTAGCAATACTGAAACCGTCAGGTCCAACGAGGATCGAGGGGGTGCACGGCCTCCTGCCAGATGCTCATCTGCCCCTGAAGAAAGTATTTCCTCTATGCCGCTTGATGACGCGGGTATCCTACGCGCTAATAGAGCTCTCAGCGTGTCTCGAGTACAAGAAACGCCAACGTACCGCTAGTCTAGAACCGCCACAGGACACCACGTAGTGCGCGGGGCGCCCGATTGCCATGCAGGGTTACGCCTCTGCTGGCAGATGTGGCGAAGGGATACACGCTCAGCATATCCGCTCAGACGTTGAATGCAATCCGACGACAGGGTGCGCGCGTGAAGAAGCTGCACGCCACTCAGGTGCTCGAGTGAATGAGCGAGCGGGAGAGGTTTCACCGACTTCGCGTGAAGATTCCAGGGGACCCACGTAACAGACGACACGATGAGCTGGCCAACGGTGATACTATGGCCCGTCCGGAACGCGGACGATGGCGTACGTGCGAACTGGGGTTGTTTCATGTGGACAGCGATACGACACTTACACGCTATATGCGCCATACGCAGGCCTCAAAGGGCGGTTTGGGGTGAGGAGAATCGAGGGGGCGGAGTGCGGCGGAGGGCGCGCGATTGTGCGCGGCGAGGCGTTGCTCAGGACCTTCCTCAGTGGCTGCTCAGTGCCCACGAAGGCGGAGTGTACTCCGACCGACCCTCACCGCCTGCGGATGGCTGGTCATTCGTAAGGGACGATGCTTGTGATGGAACGAGACTAGAATGAGTCGTCGCGGCTGAAGGCCTCAGAGATCAAACGCACCTCACGATAGCCCGCGAACGGATGCTTCTACAACTGAAGACTGAGGACGAACACCTCGTCGTGTATCGTCTCCGTGTGCAGTGTCTCCGCGCGAGGAAGCACAGCCGTACTTGACAAAATCTGCGGGTAGAAGCCGCGCTCACGAGCCTGAGACCAGCCCACCGTCTAGCCAGCACCAGCCTAAAATCGGTGTCGAAAACAGAGCTGTGAGGAGGAGCACGCAGTCAGAGCGCGGTAGAGGGCGTGGCGGGACTCAGTATGCACTTCTTTGAGCTCGCAGCTCTGTGTGCCGTGCATGGCAGGTTCTCTGTCTTGAGTATCGATCGAGCTGGGAGAGATCATCGTGTTCGCGGATGTCGAGCAACGGCCTGAGTGTTTCCAGCAGTGGTGCGCACATGCAAAGGTCGCCGTCGGACGTCGAGCTCGCCACCCATTTTCCTCGCCAGCGCTAGCAGGAGCCCGCGAATCCGAGAACATCGGAAACGGAAGATTCCACGTGGCCGTCCCGGAAATTTCGAGCTCGCTGAGACGAGCGTCTCCTCTCTCTCCCCTCCACCGTCCCTCTCAACCTCCTCGCCATGTCTCTCGTCGACGAGCATGTCTCTGTGCAACAGTGCAAGCGCGCCGTAGATGCGCTCCTCGCCCATGCCGCCAAATTCGAAGAGGAGAAGGCCGAGAGCCAGCTCCTGTCCGGCAAGGAGCAGAACGTCTGGCTCGTGGTCAACACCAAGCTCATGCAGGCCGAAAAGAAGATAAAACCCGCGCGGATGTATGCTCTCCACTATCTCATGTATGAGCTACACTGACACTCGAGGACAGAAACTTGAAGCACCCCATTGTCGACCCCCGCACCTCGTCCGTGTGCCTCATAACAAAGGACCCGCAGCGCGAGTACAAAGACCTCATTGCCCAGCACGACATCAAGTTCATCTCCCGCGTCGTCGACATCAAGCACCTCAAGGGCAAGTGGAAGCCGTTTGAGGCGCGGCGCATGCTTCTGCATGAGCACGGGCTCTTCCTCGCGGACGAGCGCGTCGTGCCTCTACTTCCCAAACTGCTCGGAAGCAAGTTTTTCCAAGCGAAAAAGTGCGTATACGTGTGTTCCTGCTCCCTAAACCGCTTTTAATGAGTTACAGGCAACCCATCCCGGTCTGCGTCACGCGCAAGGACCTCAAGGCCGAGCTCGAGCGTGCCATTTCCTCGACGTACTTCCACCAAAACCAGGGCACTTGTACGTCCATCAGAATCGGTACGGTCTCGCAAAAGCCCGCGCAGGTCCTCGCGAACCTGCAGACCGCGCTCCCCGACGTCGTGAAGCACATCAAGGGCGGCTGGGACAACGTCCAGAGCTTCCTCATCAAGACGAACTCGTCCGCCGCGCTCCCCGTCTGGCAGTGCGACCTTACTGCAGAAGCCGGCGGCCGCTGGGAGGGCCTCGTTGCGGGTGCGAGCGAGGACGAGGACGCGGAGATGGACGATGCGGAGGCGAGCGCGGAGGACGACGAGATGGTGGTCGAAAAGCCTACCGTTGACGCGAAGGGTAAGGGCAAGAAGCGGACGGCGGAAGAGGTGGAGAAGGACGAGCCGAAGAAAAAGGCGAAGGCTGCTGCAGCGACAGCTGCTCCCACAAAATCCAAGGCGAAGGCGGCAGAGTCTGCCCCTGCTGCCCCCGCGAGCGCACCCGCGTCCGAGCCTGCGAAGAAGAAGCGGCGCAAGTCCAACGCAGACCCCGCGAGCGTTCCAGAGGCGGCGTCGACGCCCGCAAAGGCAGCGAGCGAGGAGAAGGCGCATGCAGCGGACGCGGACGCGGACGCAGCTGCTGAGGGCGAGAAGAAGCGCAGACGCAAAAAGACCAAGGGCGAAGCCGAGCCCGCCGCCGCATCGTCGCCCGCGCCCGCGCCCGCGTCATCATCGCCCGCCAAGCCCGCCGAAGCCGACGCAGAGCCCTCGCAGCCCGCGAAAAAGGAGAAGCGCAAGAAGGCGCGCGCTGCCGCCACCGAGTCTGCCGACGCCGCGTCCCCCGCGAAGCCGTCCGAGCCCGAAGTCGCGGCGCCCGCGCCCGCCACCCCCTCCATTCCCAAGAAGAAACGCCGCGCGTCCGCAGTCGACTTCTTCGACGCCGCCGCGACGCCTGCAGCGGCCGCGCGGCCCGCCGTCCCCCCAAACACGCCCGCGGACGGGCTGGTGGCGGAGACGCCCGCGAGCGGGAAGCGCAAGAAGCGCACGAAGGCCGCTGGGGAGGAGACTCAGACCCCGGTGACGACGGCGATCGCGAAGCTCGCGGTGGAGGAGCCTGTGACCCCGGGCGAGGCGGATACCCCGAGCGGGAAGAAGGGGCGCAAGCGCAAGGGGAAGGACGGCGCGGCGGACGCTGAGGCGACGCCTGTGTCCGCGGCCCAGGAGCCTGCCGCGCCGGTGGAGGACACGCCTGCGAAGAAGCTGAAGCGTAAGCAGAAGGCTGCGGTCGACGGCGCGGCGGCGGCGATCACGCCGTCGCTGAGCGCGGAGGAGATGAAGCAGAAGAGGAGCGCGTCGGGTGCGGGCACTAAGAAGGAGAAGGTGCTGGGCGCGAAGCCTGCCGCGAAGAGCGCGAAGGACGCGGTGGTCGGCAAGAGAAAGCTCTGAGCTCTCTGTAGGCCCGTTGGCGGCGTCGATGGTCTTCTTGTGTCTTGGGTGCACCTTGCTTGTGTACACGTACGGAGCACGATCTACTGGTACAATCGCATTGCGCTGGGTATATACAGAGGTCAGATGCGTGTTCGTGTGCCAATGAGTGTTTGTAGCTGATGAGGATGATGATGGATCGATGATGATGAAGCATATGTAAAGTGTCAGTGAGTGAGAACGCGAGACGTGTGTAGGTACGGCGTCGTGAGAGGCATGGAGGGGCGTGAACGCTCGTAGACTAGATACAGCAGGCGATAATCCAGATGCTGGTGATACACAGGTGGGATGCATAGCGATGGAAAGCAGATGGAAGCGACGAGAGCACGAGGGGGGCAGACGACGGGCGCACAGCGCTCAGTGCCACACCCACGGGTCGCGGTATTCCTTCTTGAAGACCCTCGTAAGGAGCCCGCAATTGTCGCACGCGCGTCGGTCGCGCTCGTACATGTCGCCCGGGTACGGCTGGCCCTGCGTCTCGGGGTGGCGGTCGCCCGCGTATTCCCGTCCGCGGCCGTTTGTGTGGTACCAGCGCGGCTCCATCTGGCAGTACTTCTTGCCAAAGTTCGAGTTTGGGCAGTAGCACGTCCCTGTCGAAGCGCATCAGCGTCTGTGCCTCTGTTCGGTGCCCGATGCCATCTCGTATCTGACAGAGGCACGGGACGGGGCGGGTGCCGGCATCCGCGAGGCCAGTGACGTCCGCACAAGCCAAGATCCGCGCAGTGAGCGGCAGAGACGTGCTCGAGCCGGTCAGACCGTGGTCAGACCCCAGCCCATCCCATCATGTTGCATGGAGGTCGGCTTGGGTCCGACTAGGGGTCTAACCGCGCCACTCGACGCAGTCGGGGAATCAAGGCCTGGCCCGAGCACCCCTAGGGGCGGTAGGAGAACGGCCCTGGGCCTCGCGGATACAGCGGAAGGCACGTACCTCTGGAGTAGTGGGGCTCGCACGAGCCGCACGCCTGGTAGCCACAGTCTTTGCACAGAGCGAGACGGCGCCCCTCGCCGCCGACCTTGGTGTTGCAGCCGGTGCACTGACCGAGCGGCGGCCGCTTGGGCGGGGTCAGGGCGATTCGGGTGTTCATTTCGTTCAGCTTCTGGTGGATCTTGCACGACTGCCGGTGCACGCGCCAGTCCGCGCCCTGGCACCGAGGCCTGTACCCGGTGCGTTAGCGGACAGAAGCACGAGCACGCTTCGTAGCGTACTCACGAGCAGTATCGAGTGGTCCGGCACGCCGAGCAAGTGTAAGGGGCCTCCTTCATGCACACCTCGCAGAAGGCGAAGCCGCAACGGTCCTCCGCGAGTGGATGGGGCGGATCAGGGATGAGGTACGCTGCGAGGGTGATGATGACCATTGCGCCGGCGAGCGTCGACATCGACAGGAGGAACATGCTGGCGATGGACGATGGTGGCAGAGGACGGGGCAACGAGAAAGGAGAGGAGGTGGTGGTTCAGGACGACGCCGCACGGCAGTTAGCGCTCGTGTGCCCGGCTAGACTCTCATGCGCGTCTGTCACGCTGTGATGCACGCGTCGCGTCGCGTCGACGCGTCTGCTGCGTCCTCTTCCTCCTACTCCCATCTCGCCACCGATTCTTCGACTCCTCCAGCCTCGTTGGAAAAACTCGTTGTGCTAGCTATGGATGCTGAAGATATCCTGCAAAATGAAATCAACAAGGCCGTGGACTGCATCAAAAGTCTTCTCACCAACATAAGATCTAGCAGACCGAGGTACGTGCCAGGTGTATCAGGACGACAATGTCCCTCATATAACCAATGCGATTTATTTCCAGCCTGCGAAGCATTTCCAATGTATGTATCTACGTGAACTCAGGTCGAAGTATCATGGTTTAATGGCGCCGCCCAGCTACGCTCATTGGAACGTCTACTCGTTGAAGCGACCTTGGTGGCACGGTCCCACATGAACTTTATCGCGCCTATCAACCGCCTCCCAGCAGAAATACTGTCGGACATTATCAGTATGGCTTCCCTCGTACCAGTTTGCCCGGCCATCCCTCGCTACCCTGTGGGGTCACGGTGGTATCAGTCTCCCCGACTCTTGCGCACGCAAATCATGCGAGTGTGTCACCTATGGAGAAGAGTTGCACACTCCTCCCCATCCCTGTGGTCTGACATAATTCTTCGACCTCAAAAAGGACCGTCTTTGTCAACACAGTTCACGCGTGTCCGGACGACCGCTATCAACGTTTACAGCGAAGGTCGCGTCAAGTCCCTGTTGCCCGTACTCTCGAATCACGCCTGCCGTATACGCAACCTTCACGTCCGGGCTATCGGTGCCTACGGGGCAATAACCAAGATGAACTCCGTCCTTGAGCTTTTGCCCGGGACTGCTCTTTGTATTGAAGAGTTGGTCCTACTTGCCGGGTACACCTGGCCTTACGCCTCACCTACAATTCCGACCGCGTCGATCTTCTCGGGTCCTGCTCCTCGGTTACGCCTACTTTCCCTGGACACTATGAGGTTTCCACCGACGGATCTGTTCCCTAACCTCAGAGAGCTTTACCTCACCATAGAATCCCCCGCAAAGGTGGCCGATCTACTAGCGATTTTGCGGGGATCACCGCTGCTAGAGCATGTCTATCTTTCTGCGGTCATCGAATATCCCCTCGCCGAAGCACCGAGGGGCCACGGCGTGTCTCCTTCACCGCCTCGTCTTGTCGCCCGATTGTCTCATTCGCCTGGAGAGACTGGCGCTGACGGATGTAGCCCCCTGCCTCGAAGCGCTCGAGAGACAACTGGATGCCGGGCAACTGACGCGGTTGTTGTTGAGCAAGGAGCAGAATCCAGGCCTCTTATCTCTCTGCCACATGTTATATGTCACGCTCTGAAATGCCGCCGCAAATATGGGCCTCCAACTTGGGATCATCGGAATAGACGGCGGTGCTCTCGAGCGCCAGGACTTCGCGGATGTATTCGTCCCGGCCTTTCGCAGCCGCCCGTTGTACGCGAACGTCGAGGAGCTCTCCGTCTCTGCCGGGCGGGGCATGGTACCGGTCGACCACACCCTTCTCAACAGCCTTCGCTCACTGACCGCGATCAATCACATCTTCGGTGACGTCCCGGCTCGTAGGCGGGGCACAGCGCGCCCGGATGCGCCTCGAATCCCGATCCTCGCGCAGGCCGGCCCAGACGGCGCGTTCGCTTGCCCCTCCTTGCGTGCTCTGTACATCGTAGGCCGCGTTCGTCACGGAGAGCTCGAGGACGCCCGCAAGATCCTCCAGTTCCGACAAGAGGCCGGACACCCACTCCCCCGGTTCGGTATCGACTGCAGCTCTGTGTTCGAGGATGAAGCCGACGCCCTTCGGGAGTTCGTGGACGATCTTGATGTTGAATATTGCGACAGGCCGGGGTACGAGAGGTGGGCGGGTGCAGTGCCGAGGGGGGGCTGGCGCAGCCATTCGGCGCGGGCGCGCTACCAGTGGCCTCGCTGGCCAGAGTTCTAGGATGAGTTAACTGGCGCACGCTCCACGGTATCGATTACTGGTTGATTTCGAAGTGCACCGGTACCGGCACACAGACTGTTGTATGAGATATTAATATGAGCTCTTTTACAGTGCACCAAAATCCTACTGCGCATTATTCTCACTGATCGCTCACCGTTTATACTTATTTCAGAATAGACGGTCACATCTACCGTCCATTTCACATGGAAGCGAGCACAAAAACAAGGTTTCTCCGGTAAGCCTCAATCCTCCGGTGTGCTCGGATGTTTACCGCGTGATTGACTCCTCCACTCTAGGCCAGCCGACTGACAAATCTTATGCCAGGGCAGGGATCCGCGACGGCCCATGCGGCTGCTTGTCCGCTGTTCGGTGTCGTCTCCAGTCTCCAGCGCGATTGAACGGAGGCCAGAGCCTCTATGTTTAGTACGTCGGCAATAGCACTCTACACTCGTTGTCCTTACTGAGTCTGATACTAGGCGTGGTGTGTCTGTATCGATACCCCTGCATAAGCTCTGAGTTGTGCAACCTTTTGCTTACTGCACGAAACTGCGCTCTTGCTGACCAGCACAGGCACTGTTAGGCACCGTCACCTTGTCTAGGCTCGCCGCATATGGGGTCCCTGCGAGGCGCAGACTCCACATCAGGCCCGAACGCTTGCGTGTTATGCTCCCGCGGCCCGCACCACAGGTCACAGTCGCGGCATCTGCTGCCCTTGGCCAAACTGCCAGAGATATTCCGACAAACCCCGGACCATGTCCACTCAAAAATGCTTTATTTATACCGCTTCTGCGGGCGGATAGGTTAATTCTCGCGACGCTCGAGAATGGCCCGTCTCTCTCTTCTCTTCCTCGTCCTCGCGAGACTCTCGACCGCTCTCTCCGTTCCGCTCGACGACGCCGCGCCGCCCAACAATGTGGCCACGAATTCGACCGTGTTGACCAAGTCTCCCGCCCTCCCCGCACCGCTGTGCTTCCCCTCGCTGGGGTTCGTAATGCCCGACGTGCTCCCACCGGACAACACGGAGTGGTGGTGCGACCCCGCAACCGAGTACGCGTTCCTCGGGTTCAGCTATGAGATCACCGACTGTGAGCATCCTTTTCTCCCCGCTATCTATAGCGGTATTCTGACCGCTCCGCGTCGGCCGTGATTTAGGCCAGAGCCTCGAGCAGCTGAACGCGGACTTCCGCGATATCCGGCAAAAGTTCAATTCGCGCTACATCCGGCTGTACGGTTTCTGCGACAACGAGGGCTACTAGTGAGTGTTCGATTCTTGCGATGTGTTTGGTGGAGCGGTATGGTTATTGGGATGCAGCAACGACGTCGTGTCTGCCGCCTGGGACAATGGTACGTCTATAAATGTACTACATCGACGTCTTCGCTGACCACGTTGCGCTCCTTCAGCCCTCGGCGTACATGCCCTCATCTGGGTGAGCACCCCCTCTGCTCCAACCTCTTTCCAGACACCCTTACCGCCCGACACCTCCGCCAGTTCGGATTCAACGGAGACCTGGTCTGGGTCCCGCGCCGCGACGCCATCCTCGCCCTGCTGCACGCGAACCCGAAGGCGAAGTTCGTGACGCGTGTGCTGCAGTTCGGCTCGGAGCCGCTGTTCGACAACGCGATCGCGCACGACACGCTCGCGGAGCAGGTCGTGCTCGCGCAGGCGAACCTTTCCAGCCTGCACATCCCCGTCACCGTCAGCGAGCTCGCGACGGGCTACCAGGAGCGCGGCGGCGGGCAGGACGTGCTCGACGTGATCGACTCGATCAACATACACATGCTGCCGTTCTTCTCGACGGAGGCGACGACTTGTGAGTGCTTGCGGCTACTTTGATGCGTCTGCGAGCGGGGTTTGACGAAGGGTATAGCGGACAAGGCATGGCCGCTTGTGTTGCAGGACCTGAATTGGTTTATTGAGCATGGGAACGGGAAGAAGATGTACTTCGATGAGGTTCGTTGCGTCTGTATCCTCTAGTGATTACACCGTCCGCTCATCATCTGCCTTTTCACAGAACGGCTGGCCCTCTATAATCTGGTCAGGCGTGGAACCCAACAGCCCTGATGCAGTTGCAGACGTACCCAACGAGCAGGTGAGCTTCGAACCTCTTTAGAACCGTGGCGCGCCCTCTCCCTTACGGCTAGCCGGACGGCACCGGTCGTGTTTAGAGTACATGCTGATTCTCTTCTTGCGCTAGGGGTATTATGCGCTGCTGGAGGAGAACTGCGAGTTCCTCCGGGACGTCGTCGGGGCCGGCATCGGCTGGTTCGCGCACATCTATACAGACGAAATGGAGCCAGGATATGGGATCTACGACGACGAGGGGAATATGAAGTTCCCGTTCGCGCCGCGCACACATTGTTGATAGACGAGCGTCCTCCGAGTCGAGGCTTGGGGCGCCTTGGGAGGTAATCTAGAGGGTGAACGCGCGCGTGAACTCGAATGTTGTAACTCTGACAACGCTGTGATACACTGCTACTAATACCGCGAGTGTCCCCATTTTCTTCTCTGGATGTGGGCTCGCTCGAGATTTCGACTTGTTGAGTAACTTACCGCAGTACTTGATAAGTAGTTCTAACTTACCGAAATAAGGGTAGCACGACCGATCATCCAAAGAGGAAAGGGTTTGCTCGTCCACGTCCACCACCGCCACCTAGCTGCGCACTCCGATGACCACATCTCTAACATCACTGCAGATCACTGCTTGATCACTGCTGTTTGAACTCGGTGTACTATCACATATACTACACAGGCCTCAAGGCAGGCCTAGCTACAACCGGGCTTCAAATGAGCTCTGAATACGTGTGTCGATCCCAACATCGACGACATCGCAGACAGTCGCCGAGTTCTAAGTGTCACGCTAGCCAGGGAAAGCACACTTAGGTATGCTAATCTACTATGTTATACACGAGCTTGTGTGATAATCTGTATCGTCGCGCTGTGTCCTCCCAGCATAACATCAAATGTATGGAACCGGTATTACGCATGGCGACGTTGTCATCTCCGATCCTGATCGTGGTGTTCTTATAGCTACCTACTACACCCAAATGTGTCACAGAAGTCGTCGAAGAGCCTCCTACCACTGAAGTGTGTATGAACACCACTGCGCCAGTCAACCGTCTCCCCCCCGAAATACTCTCTGCCATCTTCGGCATGTCCTCTCTCTGGCTACTGGTGCATGGGGAGTTTTGCCCTTCTGAAAAGGCCACACTGTTTCACTCCGCGTGGGCCCTGCAAATTCAACTCATGGCGGTATGTCGATTATGGCGAGACATCGTCCTCTCGATCAGCAACCTTTGGTCCGGCATAGCTTCCCTCGCCACGGAGCCGGGATGCCCCTCATCTGTACAACTACCCCGTGCGCAAGGCATCCCGCTTCGCGTCTACAGCGATGCAAGACGTGGAGTCAAGGACCTACTTCCTGTGCTCGTTGATCATGCGCGCGAGCCGTATCCGAGCTGTCTGGATCTGCGACGCGAACAGTTCGTGGTTAAACCGGGAGGAGACCCGGGACGTTTTACTTTCCTTCTCCAAGCTGGCTCACTGTGTCCGAGTCGAGGAGGTTACCATGCATGTGGGCACCCTGTTTGACTGGCCACCGACAGAGACGCTCTCATTATCTCTCCGTACCCTGTTCTCTGGCTTCGCCCCACATCTGCAGATACTCAGGCTGATGTTGCATCATCTGCCATGTATACCCCAAGACCGGCTCCCCAATCTCAGAGAACTCTATCTCGACTTCCGTCATCCTGATACCTACTCCTCTCTACTGTCGCTCTTGGAATGCGCGCCGATGCTGGAGCACGTCCATCTTATCATACCCATGGATAGGCCCACTGCCCCTCCGGGACGTAACGTCTCTCTGCCTAAGCTGCGTCGGATCATAATTTATGTGTTTGCAGATCCATCCCCCCTGCTCCGTGCTATAACCTGTCCCCCCTTTTGTCTGGTCAAGCTCGTTGCTATCACGGCGCATGACGTCGCTGGCTGTATCGCAGTCCTCGAAGGCCGGATGGACTGCAGTCAACCAACGCGACTATCCTTTGGTGGCGATTGGAAGCTTGCACAGGCGAACCGCGAGATGGTGCTAGACATCACCGTATGTGACCCTTCCGCAACCCAAGGCCTCACCCTCACTTTCTATCGCCAACCCACTCTCAAGCTCAGAGAGGTCCTGACCAGCGCGTTCGGCACATCCCCGATATACGCAAATGTCCGGGAACTGACCATCTTCTACGATCAAAACATCGTCGACGCACCACTCCTCAATAGCCTTCCCCGACTGGCGACGCTCAATCACATATTCTATTCACCGCACTTGCCCGTGCCACTCATGTACCACGCCGGGACGATTCTCGAGGGACATAACCTCCCCCTCCTCGCGCAAGTCTTCCAGGACGGCCTGCAGCTAACGTGCCCGGGGCTCACTACGCTGTACCTCATCGACTACCCCTTCGACGCGCTCACCGACGCTCGCACGATCCTCGAGTCCCGCAAACGGCAAGGACGGCCACTCGCCCGGCTGGGCATCGACTGCAGCATCGCGCTCGAGCAGAACGCGCGTGCGCTCGGGGAGCTCGTTGGGGAGCTCGACGTCGGTTTCTACGACGTGCCCGGATACGAGGGGGCGCTGGACGCGGCGCCAGAGGGAGGCTGGCGTGGGCACTCTGCGCGCGCGCGGCGCCACTGGCCGCAGTGTCCTGGGTATGTGCAGCATTAGAGTTTAGGCTGTGGCGTGCGTTGCACATGGTGGGGGCTGTATGGGCGCGTTCGTTCTCGCTTGAAACACGGAGAGGCGTGGCACGGTCGATGGCGTTCGAAGGTTCCCCGGTGAGCAGTGATACGGCCGACACGAGCGCGTTTGCGTTCACGAACTCACATATGGTTTGCTCGTTCAAGATTAACGTGGATGATTATGTGAATACATGTGCGACTACACTATGTACGATGCGGGCAATACAGGTGCTACAATAACGACTGCGGTCGGTACACTGCTGTAAGTACAGTACTAAGCCGAAGGGAAAGACTCCTCTGGAGCGTCATAAATACGCTGATAGCGGTGTTCGACTATAAGATGAATATGGTAGGGGATGATTCGAGCCAGGTGTGCGTCCCGCGTCAGCGGCCCCTTTGGTCTCCTGAATGGGAATGGGTACCACCCGCGCCCGTCAGCCTACGGCGAGCGATGTCTCGGGAGGCGGGTAGGATTGGTGGGCTCCGCGAGGACCGATATTACCGCAGCGGTGCCGCGGCGCGTGGGTAGGATAGGGATAGAAAGGTGGGTGACAGTTGGCTCGGAGTCGCGGACCCCAGCGACAGGGCGCAGGATCTCGGGCCTGAGATGGTGTGGTACGACGGCGTGCATCGCCACCTATGGCGGGGCGCATTCTAGAAGAACACGGGTGCGACGACACCGGCGCTCGAACGGATGACGTTCTGCGAGGACGGCTTTGGCTTCGGCGCGGGCGAAGAGTACGACGCGGGGGTGGATGCAGCGGGCGACATGGTTCGAGGTGTATTAGACGGGATGGAATGCAATACGCGGGATGCCTCCGAATTAGGTGGTGCGATGGTAGAGAGCCGAATTAGAGTGAGGGGGAGAAGGATAGGATGGTCGGCTCGACTCTAAAAGGGAGGGCTGCCCGAGGGGGTGGGTGGGTTGCTCGGATGAGCAGGAGGGAATGTCGCTGCGGCTGGGTTGTCCAGACGGCGCGAACATGGGGGAGCTTTATATCCGGCACGCCCCCAGCGCATCTCGCCGGGCGCAGGCCTGTCGCGCACAGGTATCCGCGCAATCAACGTCAAGGGAAGTTCTGGGCTGGCGCCGGTGATGCAGCGAAGTGCGAACAATGCCCGGAGGCCAGCGCGGACTCCCGGAGACACAGAAGTGCGTCGCGCGGCTCGGACTGCGATGAGCGAGGCGGTGCCTCTCTCCTGGGCCTGTGCTTCGGGTTTCGCCCCTTGCCCCTCCTTGGCTTCTTGTCCGGGCTTCGCGCCGCCCGAAAATCATGAGCGCCAATCTACAGAAGACTTCAGCGCCCACAGGGTATGCAGCCAGGGACGTGAGGCAGTGGTTACTCAGATCTAAGGGGCAAGTAGCTTGCCATCTGATCGGATTTTGTGGCGGTATGCCGCTGAACGCTGTGCTCAGCATGTGGGGACATTCATTATAGGATGGACGTATGGGCGAGCTCAGGAAGGGGCGCCTCAACCCGCCTGCCCCGCCTGCCGCGGGAATGGTCGTGGGGATATCCGGGTGCGCGTTTAGAAGAAGCTCTTGCCGATGCGCCGCAGGTGGAGGTCCGGGATTCTCCTCTTCCAAAGACGCTGTCCGCGCCACTGCGAACGCGCCGGAGGAGCGACATCATCGTGAGCGCTCTTTACGGGCCTAACGGCCGCGGGGCACACGAGGCAGCGCAAGACGAGCGTTCAGGAGGGCAGTAACTCGAGTTGGCAATAGGAAGATTTTGCGAAGCGTTGAGTTGTGCGTCTACAGGGTATTCAGTCATCAGCCCGAGGTATTGTCAACGCAGATCAACGTAAGGGACTGAAAACGCTGAAAGCCACGCAGCCACTCACCTGGCAGCTTGTCCGGTCCTCATCATTGGAATGACATGATGAGTCAGTCTGCCGCGCGTAATGCCAGGCATCGTGCGAGCTCCGTATGCATTTGGAGCTTGCTGAGTGGTACGCGAGCTCGACGATTGACAGAGACCCGCCATCGGAGTAGGAATGTCTGGAGGCCCTCAATCGAGTTGTATCATGCGTTTCGATGGCATCGTTTCATCATGGCAAAGTCGCTGTTGGGATGTTCGCATCATGTCTTGCATTTTGGACTGCTTGCTACATAAACGTGGCCGCAGCGTCAGTGTTTTAGTACAAAAGATGAGATCTATCTAAAACAGCTGACCTCCGCGGCCCGCTCATATGGCGTACCTAGCCAGCGATAGGTTTTTGACGCTGTGCACTTGTGCGCCGTTATATGTTAAGGACGTTTGAACGAGGCAGGTGTCAGTCAATGTACGAGTTAAAACGTTAAAGTCGAGGTAAAGAGTAAAGGTGTGCGTCCGACAGACGAACTTGACTTGGCTGAGATGAACCAAAGAGTTCCGACTTATGCCAACAAGCGCCTAAACCTGATTGGTTGGTTCAAGTCAGATGTCGTCATCGATTGTAGCACATTTCGCTTACTCTGCTGCTCGCACTCGCTGCCTCCGACGATTGCAAAGCATGGGAACTACAAACTCCTCCTCCTCTCTTCCGTACCACCACCAACTACATGGGAGACGAAATGCGAGCAGTTCTCGTTAAGGATGGAAAGGGCCCTGTTGATAGCCTCTATATCGGGGAAATCGAGAAACCCTCTCCAGGGCCTGGCAAGGTCCTCGTAAAGGTGCATATATACCGTCAATATCAGCACTATTCATCACGAAGAGGTACTGAATGTGTACGCAGGTCCAGGCTTTTGGCCTGAACCGCATGGACATCATGCAACGCGAGGGGAGATACCCTTTGCCACCCGGTGCGCCCAGCACCTTGGGGGTCGAGTTCTCCGGACACGTTGTCCAGACCGGTGAGGGTGTGAGCGAATGGAAGGAGGGTGATGAAGTCCTCGGACTTGCCTCTGGGGTATGTATCTTCCTAAACCCTTTCCCTAGTCGCGTCGTCTCACATCAACCCACAAGGGCGCATATGCCGAATACATCGTCGCACCTCACAGGAATCTCATCAAGAAGCCTGCTCATCTATCATGGGTTGAGGCTGCGAGCATTCCCGAAGTGTTCCTTACAGGTGATTGCACTGCTTCTATCCGTGCATCGGGTGCGGTAGAACGCTCCTCTCTACAACATCGAATACCAATTCGCGGTATCAGCCTACCTCTATCCATAACTTAAACACGAGTTAACGCACCTGGAACATCTGTGTCTCAACTTGTTCCTTGGCGCATGCATGGAATTTCATGGCTGATTTAATTTGTAGCATTCCAAGCGCTTGTTGTCCTGGCCGAGGTCAAGAAAGGCGACGACGTCCTCGTGCATGCCGGCGCCTCAGGTGTAGGCATTGCCGCCATTCAATTGGCGCGTTTCTACGGCGCGTAGGTGGCCACTGCGTCTGTGCAATCTTCTCGCAGCTCACCGTAACCCAGCAACACGGTCACCGCAACCGCGTCTACCAAGGAGAAGCTTGATATGCTTCTGTCGGCTCCGAACGGCGCCACTCACGCCGTCAACTACAAGACACAGGATTTCGCCGAAGAGGTAAAGAAGACGACGGGCGGGAAGGGCGTCGACGTCATCATCGACTTTGTCGGCCAATCGCACTGGCAGAAGAACATTGACTCCTTGGCGTACGACGGACGGATGACGATGCTTGCCCTCATGAGTGGTACGCCTTCAGTTTGCCTGTCGTCCCACAATAAATGACGGATATCTCCGACACGACATAGGTGCCGAGGTGCCCAATTTCAACCTGGTCCCCATTCTGTACAAGCGCCTGCGCATTCAGGGATCTACACTGCGCGCCCGCTCGGAAGACTACCAGGCTGAGCTCATCGCCAGGTTCGTCGCCTTCCGTCCGACCTGCGTCGGCGCTGACATGTCGCCCTTCTCAGGTTCAAGCGCGAGGCATTCGATCATATCACCGGTAGCTCAGGCGACGGCCGCATTCGTACCTACATTCACAAGGTACGTTATCTGCGGACGCCCCTTTTTGTCATTCGCCTGAGTCTATCTTCGCTCGGAAGATTTATCCCTGGACGGAGATACAGGCCGCTCACCGCGAGATGGAAGCGAACAGCAACAGGTGAGTGCTCTCCCAAATCATCCGTGGGATGTGCGGATAGCTGAGCCTTCGTTCAGTGGAAAGATTATGGCAGAGGTCGTATAAGATAAATCAAGCGAAGCACAACGGCCCGCAATAAGAGCTTGTAATTATATTTCACGGTGTGATCCTCACTATCCTCTTCCGAAACATCCGTGTACGGTGCCGCCATTGAGCGTCACTCGGTTGACATCATCTCTATACCAAGATTCAGGTTTTTGGGGCGGCCGGTATTTGATTAGCATAACTGACACTACAGTGCTTCCTACCTGTCAGCCGACACCGGACCACGCCCGGCCAGAACACCACGAGCATGCAAGTGTGCCTCAACGCGGCGTTTAGCGGCGAGCACACATAATGTATCCTTCCGGCTGGTGCTGCATGTCCAAGGACGACATAGGCATGGTCGCGAGCGCTGCCCATGATTGACAGGATATCACAGTAAGCATTGCGATGTACTCCCATATCGTCTATTGCGCTGCTGAATGCGACTCTAGACCGAAGCAGCGTGTTTCGACGGAGCGCCGAGCCGCCTTCGCTTCTGTCCTTGTTGAGCGGAGCCGGGTAAGGGACAACGTCCGAAACTTCGCGGGAGAAGCGGCAAAGGCGGGCGTGCGGTGAGCTGGGCACGTCACGCAACATGCAGTCATCTACAGGGCCCGTCAAATCCCACCCCCGACGCACGTCGGCTGTCTGTGCGGCGCGATGTGTGGCGGCGGGACCACCCTCTCGCTGTGCGCCGCATTCTGTGGCGGCGGGCCCGCCCTGCTGATTCGCGCTCGGTGACCTATCCTCGCTGGAGTCGCAATTTAAAAGGAACACACCGACGTGGTTCTTCCGACCGGACTGATCAATGATAGCGGTACTCAGTAGACGACCGAGCAATGCTTTCTGGGGTCGGGCTCAGCCGGTTCCGGGAATCAGCACAGTGGAGTAGCTCGTGCGCGGACGCCCATGAAACGCTTCGACACCGTGACATCCTCAAGGCATCCATGTCTACCAGAGTGCGGCCGAGCTCGAGCTCTTCACGCATCGTCGACAGTACAGGAAATGTAGGTGGGTGATCCACTTCGGAGTGTGATTGGCCGGAATATACTGACGCTCCTCTACGTATCCGCAGCACACCAGCCCGTATGGGTGCGGCGTTCTCCCTTTCGAGAGGGTATATTGTGCACGAGCTCCATGCGATCACTGACCGCCGTACACTTGTGATTCGACCTCGCGCCTCCGCCACCGGTCGCCGCCCGATCGCCAACCTGCAGGGCTTCGAGCCTGTTTGTGGGGGCACGCCGCTACTGCGCAGCGCGGGCTGCGGGGCGTCCGCTGCGACGAGGATGCCTATCGCCGATTCGCCGCTAAATCGGTGAGGAAGCCCCGGCGCGCACGCGTACAGGCACCGGGCAGGCGCCAGAAGAACGCGCGAAGCCCTGCGGAGGCGCGCACACGGGCGAGCCGTGTCTTCGAATGGAGCAGTACAAGGGCCTTCTGCTCGCACGACGCGCCGGTCAGCGGGGGCTTACGGGGGCGTCCTGCCTCGACGCGAGAGTGCCGCGGCCGGGCAGCCCAGAACCGATCGCGGACCAGGCGCGTCCATACGATACGTCGCTCGCTCGTTATGGCGGCGCTGCACATTCGGCGGGTGCAGTCGCGGCGACTTGGCGTCATCTCCCGAGAAGGGTGTCTCTGACTTGCCTCTTGCTGCTATCTGGGTGTCCCCCGAGGCGAATCATAAGTTGGGCTGCAGCATGACTGGGACAGCTGCGGAGAGCCCAGGAGATGAGCAACCGTCACCCGGTCACCCAAACGGTCTGCCTTGCAATGGAAGCCAGAGTTGGGGTAAGCGTGTACCGAGCCGAGTACGCCCCCCTGTGTGCCATTTCGGTGGTATCACACGTCGCATTCAATACGATGCACGCACCTGGTGGAGACGGAAGACATATCACTGCTGTCCTGCCGAAGAATAGGACTGCTCTCCTCGTGTAGGGCGTACGCAGAAGTGACGTCGGCGAGGTGGATAACCTTGGGCACCGCGGAGGTGAGGTGTATGCTTAGCCTCTAGGTTCTCGAAGTCATTCCGTTGACAGCAGTTCTTGGCCCCAGTGTGACGAACAATTGCCTCACGCGAGTTCCGTCAAGACGAAGCTGGATTGGTTATATACCTTCTACAGCTCCTGCCGTATACGGCAATGCAGATCCTACGCCCGGCGTGAGACGCTCTCGCCCTTGGCGTGAACCCTCGCCACTCAGCGGACCCAGTCCGCAACGCCCAGGCGTACGCCGCATGGATGGGAATACATCTATCACGGACCACCAAGCGTTGGCAGCTCTGGCGGCGCATTCTTGGGAATTGTCGGCACCGTCAATTGAGCCCGCCCGCAGGCGCAGACGCGCAGCCCGTGACCTATCGATGTGTGTGCGCTCGCCTGACGGATTGATCGCACCGGGCGCGCCCTGGAGGAGACTAGCGGCTCAGGAGCGGCACCAGTGTGCCTTCGGCCCTTCGGAGGCACTGCTCGCTTAGGGCACGCGCGGCTTCTTTCATGTAGCTGGGGCTGTCCGACAGACTATCAATGGGCTCTACCTCCGAGTCGAAATCGGGTGTGCATTCCCCGGACTGTAGCCGCCCTCGCATTCCGGAGACGACAACGCCTGCTTCTTTCGGCCCAAGGTTCAGCTCGCTCGCGCGGCCGCGGCTGACAGCTCCTGTCCATGGCGCCGCGTCATATAAGACCGCCGCTGCTGCACTCATCGAAGCACACTGACCAGCTCACCTCGCCGGGCATCATCACCCTCGCTGCTGAAACATCGAACTCACAACGCTGCACACCATTCCACACGTCCATCCATTCATCATGCACGGATCATCTACTGCCTCCACTCCCGCGAACCAGGTCGCGAACGGACGCCCGACCTCGACGACTTCGAGCCCACCCTCGCGGCCCACATCCCAGGGCGTCATTCGCTCGACCGCAGCGACGGCCACACCCGTGTTCTTCTAGGCTGCGCGGGTACTAGTGCTGCAGCAGCACGCGCAGCACCGCGACCGACGCGGAGTCCTCGCGGACCACCACCACACATCCCCCGTCCATCGCGTCCACACGTTCAGCCTTCCCCCTCTCTCGCAGACCGCCGCCCGCGCCCGCCGCAGCACCACCACCACCGAGTCAGACATGCTCGCGGGTGCACCCGCGATACGGCAGCACGCGGTCCGCGTCCTAGGGGAACCCAAATGCGACGCCTTCCATCCCATCGGCGGATTACATACTTACCGGTCCCCGCTGGGAGCATCCGATCGGAGGCGAGGCGCCGGGAGCCGGTGCGCACGGGGGCGCCTGCGAAGGGCGTCGAGGGGCGCCCGCGCGAGTTCGCGAAGACGGACCACGCCACGAAGGCGGGCGCTCTGGTGGGGAAGAAGGGCGAAGCGGAGGGGTGGGAGAGGATGGGCAGGGCGCTCGCGCAGCGCATCACGGACCAGGGAAGGCCGGTATGGGGAGTGGGAAGGGCGTGTTCGACAAGGGCTTCCTGATTGGTGTAACTGTATCTCGATTGCGACTAATAGCTTGCTCTTCGTTCTGCGCATGAGGTGTTGGTCAACGGTGCGCTGCGAGTCCGACGCGGTTGAGTATCGGCCTTACCAATACTGAATACGCTGCTTGGAAAAACTCTGGGAATCCCGAATACACTGTGCTGCGTCGGAGATACGTGTTCAGCAACATGGAATTAGTCAGGGATTTGAGTGGACGCCAACTGCACGAGCTCAGATGAGCAGCGCACGGAAGCGCACCCGACAACTCTCAGGAGCGCGTCCGTTCTTTGTTATCGAAGTGACGTTCCGAGGGCACGGCGTAACGCTGCGCGCAACTAGCTCGGCGGCTTGCGATTCGGCTGCCTGTGAAAGGCCAAGCGAAGTCAGTTGCCTGAAAGCCTGAAGTTCGCGCCCTGCCGGTCCCCGAAGGCAGGCACGGCGCGGGCACAGCACCGGCGAGCCTCGAGGCTAGACCGAAACCATCGGACATTACATGGCGAACCACCGCCGCCCCTGCATGAACGGCGAAGGATGGTAGATGTGATGTGGTATCGCCGCCGCTTCGTGTGGACGTGGTCCAGGCTCCTGACCACCGCGGACAGACCAGACCGCAACTTTGAACATGGCTGCGCGCGCCACATCCAAACATAGCGCGATGACCCTGTTAATCATGTCCACGGCGCTACGGATGATATGACGAACTCAGCTTCGGAAGGGCGATGGCAGGCGATGGCTTGCAATGAAGAGGTCGTCCCGCTTCCCCGTGATTAATCGCCCTGAGATCATCAAATTCAGGGTCGGACCAGGGGGGCGAGCGCGGGGAAAGAGCGTGCCTAATTCCGCAGGGGTGTTTAATGACAGGCTTTTGAGCGGCGCAGGTTCGGCGCAGGTGCGAACTCCGCTCCAGCTCCCGCGGAACTGCCCAAGGGGACGCTGATCCTAAGTTCGTGACATTGAGGCTGCCTCCGGCGCAGTGCAAGGGGGCCGACGGGAACAGGAGGGCAGAGGGCGAGTACGCACTCCGCGAACTTGATGATGATGAAGTCGACAGTTCGCCGGGCGGTTGCTGTATGGGGCCAATAAGACCGGCGGGTTCCTAACCAGCTGGTCTTGGGTACCGACAAGAAGTCTTCCCCCTTGACAGCGGATTATTTTCGTGTTAATAATGACCTGAAGTTTTTGGAAACTGACGAGGCTGAGGAGGCCTGCCGTACTGCTTGAAGTCTACATGCCGTAATGTAAGGTTGGAACGATTGGCCGGACAGTCTCAAGGCTTCCCAGACTTAACAGTACCGGGGACAACGCAGTTGAGTAAACTGATGTTCTGCGAACGCCATGCTTGATGTTGAATTGAAGCCATGCCGCTGTTCAGCGCCTCGCTCGAGAGTTACCAGCGTATTTGAAACATTCTCCGCGCTGCGTCAAGTGGCCGGCCAATCCAGACATTGCGCAAAGACTTGGCTGCGTCCGTAGCGGGTCCGTGGGGACAGTGTACGGCAGGTACACAGGCAACGGGACAATTCGCCGTGCCTGTATGGTTTTGGGGGCGATCTATTCCCTGGACGGTGTGTCCGCAGCTTGGCTGGCTTACTACCGCTGCGACATGTCAATGCGGATTCCGTACGGTCTCGGCAAGAACTAGGCGCACCGGTTGGGATGCAACATGTCCTGCGAGGACAGACGCGATGTCATTGAAGACTCCGATTACGACATGATTATTCCGGGATTTCTCATGCACAGGGTCTTGTGAGGTACACGATGGGTCTACTCACCGCAATGAAAGGCTGCCGGTACCCAAATGCAGCGACGGAATAGGTGTGCACATCATTGATAGATGTCAACGACGCCAGGGCGTCACGTCAAAGTCGAACTTGGGAGTCTCGCCAGTACAGCCTGTGTAGCTGGATGAGCTGTTTATCCCGGCTTAATGGTGACGCAGTATTGCAGATTATAGCCGGAAATGCAGGCGACTTCCGAGATCGTCTAGCAGCTAGCTAAGCATGGCACATCGCATGAGCGAAGAGGACAAGTCGTGTATAGTCATTGACGAGGGCTCGCATGGTGTAATTGCCCGATACGGAATTGAATCGAACCGAACGGCTCGGCTGCTCTCATTCTCGCTTCGGGCCGACGAGTCGGACGAAAGCCTCTTTGACTCTGACCACGATCTGCCGCTCACTCTCAGCGCGACCACGACGCAATTGCGCAATATCCAGGGTGGAATTGTGAGTAAGTATCGTTACGATATGAACGCATTTAGCCTTGTCAGCTCATAGTGGGAGGGAACGCCGAATGCTGTGGTCAGATCAGAACACACTCAATATGTCCCGTTTCTACACCGCCAATGGCACTCTCCGCCTGTTCAGACTTCACCGCTTTAGCCTCGAGGTGTGGCCTCAAGCAGACCAAGGACACAGGAAGCTCGGCCGAGACGAGTCAAGACGGTCTTCGTGATGCGCCAGCCGCCCTCTGACCGTGACGGCGCAAGCTCACGGATCCATGACTCAGCTATCTTCTATCTCGGCATCCGCATGCTGTGTATGGTACGTGTCCCCGCCCACCTGCAGCTGCCTTGTTCCTTCTTGGGCTCGCCATCCTCCTCGGACGTGCGCGCGGACCAGCGGAATATCCCGCCAACACGCTCGCACCAATCGTTTCACGGCGCGCGAACATGCGTTACGTGAGGATGCATGATGAAACGGGTGTCTCCTGGCGGCTGCGGCCTTCCATCCATCGCTCCCCTCCACCAGGCAACTCTGAGGTCTGGCCGCTTTTGTCCCGTTCGTCTCGCGTGCGGGAGCGAACAGCATCCGCCGCATAACTCTTCACAGCATTTCGCAACAGGCCGTCCCCTGTCGTCTTGTCGACAAGTCACCTCATCTCTGTCCGGATTTTCAGGTACCGGTCCTCTGGCAGAGTCGTATTCGTAACCGAGTCACACCACGTCATTGAAACTCCCACTTGTGCACAGCGTATTATTGTCCATGCTGTGTCCCGCCGTTACCCGCGACATACTATAAAGGGAGGACGCCGTCGGTATGTCCTCAGCACTACTCCAACACAGACCGTTCGCCTCAGCACGCCGAACCCACCTCGCCCTCACTCGAACACCCTTACTCGAACATCACTCCCCAATACCTACCACGATGTTCACCTCTTCGGCTTGCCCAGTCTCTTTCTCGTCGAAGCCGAAGCCAAAGCCCTCCGGCACTTCTGGTTCGCAGGGCATTCGCGGTGCAGCTTCCTCCAACGGGCCTGTCTTCTTCTGACCGGCGTACGGCGCCGAGGTCGAGCCTCTTCCCACCACACCAATAGCATGCCCGCGCAGGCACCCCCCACTCCTCCTACCCTATCTATGGCCCATATCGCCGTCTATATGAAACAACACAGGGGCCCCGGGCGCGACAGCCCCACCTTACCACCTTTTCCATTCGCCCCCCACACTTAACGTCCAGGCACCCGCATTCTCGCTGCTCTTCTCCCGAGCCGCAGGGCCCGCACCCCCTCGTGGTACCGAGAGTGCATCTCCCGCCCCGCGTGCCTGGTTGCTGTGCCCGCTCATTCGGCCCAGTATCCCCGCGGTTCCGCGATCCCCTCTCCCTTTCATCTCATCTATCCGTTCCTTGGCGCCTGCCTGTGCGGCGGGGATCCCGGACGGTGGATCCCACTGCTCGAACGATGGACGAGCTGTATCCTTGGGATGGCAACACCCAGCGGCGCGGCACACGGCTTGCCGCCTTGCTGCGGTGATCGTCGTCCGCGCTGGACCGTTTCAAATCGCGGGATGGTGAGGGGATGTGGCTGCGGCGGGCGCGCGGGTAGCATGCGACTGCGTCCGGGTGCGGGTGTGTCTGGTGTATCCCCTTCTTGCCTTCTTGCTGCTTCTTGCGGACGACCAGGCTGCGCGAACTGCGCTCGTACCTCATCACTCATCACGTACATATCTACACTCACCGGAATCGGACTTGTCCTTACTGTGCAGTTCGGCCATATGCTCTCCGTGTATCAGTCATCTCTCTCTCGGGATATTCGTGTATAGAAGTGTCATGCTATTTCATAATAATCTTCGGTTCAATTACAGCGAAAGCTTGTCAACACCGAGCGCTCTACCGCTGGATCCAAGGACACGCGTAGGTCTACGGGCCCCCCGCGTCTAGGTGCAGTGCATAATACAATTCCCCGGAATGAGCTTCTAAGTCGAGGTTTGTGTAGTGAGGCACGCGTTTCCAGTGACCGAGCTGCATCATTAGGGATACGGGGTCAGCGGAGGAACTTTGCTTCTTTGTAGATGCATACCTGGGTCCGCACCTGAAGGGTTCCGCGCGCACAGCAAAGGGGCATCGACTCGCGAACTTGCTGCTCGAACCAGACGCTGTCCTCGGCAGAGATGTCCCCGGGATCTTCTGTGGAACGGTCCATGTCTTTCTCGTCCTCAGCTTCATATTCCTCTTCACTGTCCGTGTCGGTGGACCCATCACAGCGGCAGTACACAGTGACGAAAACACGCTGTAGGCCGCGGAATGGGTCCGTCGCCAACAACGCGTCGATATCTCGCAGCGGGAGATCCGCCAATGCCGGTCGCCAACGTGTGCCCTTGTACCAGCAGAACAGCGCGAGCGTCTGCAGACCGGGCGCGCGCACCTTCGCGAGCGCGTCCGCAGTCCACGCGCCCGTGTTCACGACGAGCAGCACGAGCCGTTCCAGCTTGGTATAGTCGGGCAGCGCTAGTGAAACGGGGGCCACCGACGGTTAAGCCTTGCGGAGCGGAGGGACTATCGCGACGCACCTCTGAACTGGTTCTGGTGTTCGTCAGTGTAGGATGCTTGGAAAAACGGATCGGGCTCGCGCCAAATTGGGCCCAGGGTGAGGTGGGTCATGGTGCAGTGTGCCGGCAGCATGTCGAGCAATGAGTCCATATTCTCGTTGTCCGTGAACTGCATGGGCTCTAGTGAGGTGCTGACTGATGACCAGGTTGGATGGGCACTCACCACCACCGCACGGAGATCCCTGCAGTATTGGGGAGTCATCCGGCTGTCCTCTTCGAGGGGGAGGACGATGCCACTGCGTTGATAATCGTAGTATAAACAAGTGCTGACGCAGAGGCGCGTGAGATGAGGGGCACCAGCAAGGATGTCGGCAATGTCGCCAGGGCGCAGAAATGTGATACAGCCCAGCTCGAGCGTCCGAAGCGAGGGTCGCGCGGCAAGCTCCCGTAGGAAGGGGACGAGCGCGTCATAGACGAACTCGCCGCCGTCATGCTCGTAGACGGCGCTCCTGATGTTAGACAGCGTACGCACGGCCTGCAAGGGAAAGGGGTCGTAAAAACCGATGCATGGGTTGTTGTCCCAAGAGCACCATGCGGACTCTGCCCAGGAAATGTACATCGAGAGCTCCCGCACCTGAGGCCCGAGCAGAGAGTTGGCGAGTAGCGCTTTTGAAAATGCGAGAAATTCCACGTCCTCGTGCAACACGACCTTGCGGTAGAGGCGAGCTCGCGCTTTGGGGAGCCATGATTTCTCTGTGAGGGCGCATGCGGCTAGAGTGGCCCGGCGGAGATGTCGGTCCCGGTCTGCAGCGACTACGTCGATGATTTCAAGGTATATGTCGAATGGTAGCCGGGAGGTTTGCATCGAAAACCTGGCAGTCCAAATATTCTGGACGAGATAGAGCCGGAGAGGAGCTCGTATAAATTTGAGTGCTAGGCACGTCGGGGTACAGGGCATAGGATATAGGTGCCAGCTGGCAGCCTGGTAGAAAAACATAGATGATTGTGAGCGTTGGCTAAGAGCATTGCCTCGACCTTTGCACAACGACAAGTAAAACATCTTGGGAGATGTGCGTCTCACCAGATTCATGTGAGCAGAGCAGCCATTATTTTTATAGATTTACGATAAGGAATTGGAAGCAGCGATGTTGAGGAACGAGGTAAAGCGGCAAATGGCGGGGGCGCTCGAGGAAGTGTGTGCCGCCACGTGGCTGCGTACTGGCCTACCATATCCAGAAGTTTGCGGCCAGTCCACCTTGGCTTCCTTCCACAATGTTCGCGGTCAGATCCTTCACTAGGATATTCTCTAGCATGCTTTCATGCCTTGAAACGCACGCATCCAGCATGTGTGCTTACTTGCAAGCAAAATCCCACCGTGCCAACCACACCTCGACACACTAACAAGTACCGGCGGACCACCAGGACCTTGCAATCTGGAAACGCGCGTCCTGGGCCTGTCGCTACGGGCGGGGTGAAATGCACGTTACCTTAGTGAATGGCGCGTGTGGCTGCGAAGGTACAGTAGTTCACTCAGTGTGAAGTACGCGTGGCTAACTTTAAAAGTATCATATCTAGACCTGAGTACCCCGATGTGATAGCTAACCTCGTACAGATGGACAAGGAGCCTGTAGCAGTAATGACCTGTAGCAAAACGCGACGCGTATGCTGTGCTGCCTCTTCAAGCCACATGAGAAGATCCTATGATGAATATCGCACAGCTCGGCGTCCTTACACTACACCGTCCGTGATTACTAACGTGAAAAGACGCTAGTCCGGAATGAAGACCTTCCGAGCCTGTGCGGGGTACGTAAAATCTTTAGTGTGAATTTGCGTTTACATAAAGGTACGCTTTGTTGCACTACCGGTCCTTCAAATAATTACTGACACGGAGTCGCAGGCGCTCGGTTCGTGCTGACGGCTTGTGTCAAGCAAGAGTATCACGCAGCTGTTCACCAATCCTATCAATTCTACCGCCGCAGCCGCTCTAGTCAAACACTCAGGCTAGTAGCAGACACGTCTCAATGCGCTACTTCATGTTCACCCGACCACGCCGCTGTGGGATTGCCGCACGAGACGTACTAGGAACGATACCTTCGCCTGAGGTGCGACTAACAGCGCCCTACCGTCTCGCGACGCCGGGACCATCTAGTTCTACTCCATCCTGTGCGATGAGCTTCGCCTAACTGCGTAGTGGTCTACACGTCTCACTGGGACTGCGGCCCAAGGAGGCGAGTCATCCACATTGCGTCATTCGAGCTTGAGCGTTGATCATGTTTCCACATACAGGGGCATCCGGTAGTGAGATCTCAAGCGCACTGCACCAGGCTGGACCTGATTCCAGTACGCAGGTGCTAAACATGAGGCTCAAGGACCACTGGATCTCGTCCGCAGAAATTATCGAACCGTGCGATGGGAAGAGCAATAGACGCGCATTTTGAACGTCTCCGAGGACGGCTTGTGCTCGCTAGCTCAGGTTTGGCAGCAAATCTTGAGTAGTAGCAGTACGCCAGGTCAGCACGCCTCGCAAGCCACAAATGCGGCCTAACTCTCCACTCAGGTTGCCGTGCAACTTCAAGGGGTAACACCACTGCCATCCCAGATGCGCCTCGCGCCCAGAACATCTCTTTCATCAACTTTAAGCCGACCGTATCTGACCATCTCACTCTGCGATCTCTAGGTGGTCGGAGCCTCACAAAACCAGCGCCCCGGGACTGGGCAATGCATACGATAACCGTTTAGCGTTGATCAACAGGAATCTAAACCATCTGTCTGTGGCCCGGATGTCCAGGTGGTGGCAGTGGTAGGCAGCTTTAGTAACGGCGATGTTAGATACTGATACGATGCCACAAACAGGGTAGCTGGAGTCACGATCGTGGTAACCCACTACGATGTGGTTAACAATAGCCCTCTTTGTGCGGCGAACAGCACAAGCACGACGCCGCATCGAGTGGCAACACTGCGTGGCTTCTTGTTCTCGTAAGCGCTCGTCCTTTTGTCTCAGGTGGCACGCTCAGCAACGCATGTCTTCGGTCAAAGCGGAGTGCTGTGCTTCGCCACGCTTTTCCCTCCGCGATCCATGCACTTACAATGTGCGCTGCCGCTTTGATCACGCTGCAAAGCGATATAAAGAGACCCGTATGGAGACCGACCGTTACACCTCACTTGACGCCACTCATCCCAATCCACTTGCTTCTTCCAACCAACGCCCTCTACGACATACCAGAATCACACCATGAATTCAAACGCTCAAACCTTTGCTATGCCCTCACCCCGATACTACGCGCCATACGGCGCCCCGGGATCAAAGGCCCAACCTCACGCAAGTAGCTCACGACTAGCCACACCCTATCGGCCTTCGCCACTCTCCACGCCCGCGATCAGCGAAGCAACCAGCGAGACGGAGACCTCAGAAGACCACGCAAGTAGCGTCGTGCAGTGTGACGAAGAAAGCATCCTACGGCCCCTCGGCCTTTCTGAGCAAGACATGCAGAGCGCTCACTCCGCCTCGTGGGGCTCGTCCGAGACGCCGAGTGAGGTAGCGTGGCTCACGCAGCGGCGCGCGATGGACGCGCGCCAGAGATTCCAAAGCGCCTCGAAATACGCCGTACCAGTACCATCGTCGAGCACCGCACTGAATCCGCGCGCAGGCGAGTTCATCCCGGTCGCCGCGCGCCTGCAGGGCCCGCCACCCGGGCTGGGCACGGCTGTGCTGCGGTTGCAGCATCCATGGATGGCGAGCTTCCGCAGGGGCTCTGTGACGCATGACCCCAATGTGCGTGCGCAGTATGCGAGGGAGATCGTGCGTTCAGGGCACTGGGATACGAGCGTGATGACGGACCTCGCGAGGAAGTTCGCGGAGCGCGTGACGGAGAGCAATGGAGAGGACTTGAACGTCGTCGCGTTGCTCGCGCGCGCGATCAACAGCCACTTCGCAGAGCTTGGGGGCGAGGTCTGCGCGAACGCGTTTCGAGAAATCATGATGTATTGTCTGTGGGTTGAGTTTGACGCGTTCTGGAATCCGGTAAGTCTGCCAGCCAGGTCTTGTTGCACACAAAGTAACTAATACCTGCGACAGAACAACCCCACCTCCTTCATCTGCACCCCTCGCAAAACAGAGAACCCCACTCTAAGTGTCGCGCTTTCGTTCGTCGCCTTCTCCGGAGAGCTCTACGCTGTTAAAATCGTGAACTCCGATTTCGTGCGTAAGTGCCTGAACGGCCTCGTGGCAGACATGTTCGTCATCGAGCAGCTGCGCGCCGCGCGGGTGCTCTTGACACGCCTCGACTGTACCATGTTTAAGGAGAATCCGCAAGTCATGAACGACATCGTCGCTGCAATCAACAACCACGCCCTACGCATAGTCCCAGGCCAGAGCTCACTCGGCGAGGTCTTCGACCAGCGCACCGTCCACGTGCAAGTCGAGGTGTGTACCCCCTTCTGCGAAAAGCCGTGTCATGCATGCTGACCCCTGCCAATAGGACATCAACGCCGCGGCCAAGCGCTGGGCCGCACCGGAACGGCGCGCTCACACGAAGGAGGCGTTCGCGGACAGCGGCTTCACGCCTCGCGTGTTCGCACCCGATACGCTTCCGCCGCCGCCCGGCTTGAAACCCTCGCCCCAGCTCGTTTACGCGACGGCTCGCACGATCAAGCCTGCCCGACGATGATCGCAGAGCTACGACTCCTAACGGACACTGTATACCACCACGCACCACACGCTCATTCACGCACCTTTCTAGTTTGCTCGCTCACGGACCCATCATAGGCATTCCGCACCTCACTCGTTATTATCGTGTACATCGCAATGTAATCTTGTCCAATCGCCCTGCTCTGGCATGGCATCGTGCTCAATCAGCGTTTTCCGAGCGTGAACGTGGTGTGGGTTTGAGCAAACTGACCTCAGTTATCTATGGCATCACGTCGCCTTAGATCGAGCAGGGATGTGCTCCCTTCCCCACGCCGCTGTCTCCTCGGTCGCGTTCCATAGCGCATCGAGCTGCGGAAGTTCCCAGCTCGCGTCGTCCCCGTGATCTGCAGGGAGAACGGAAAGGACCGCGAGGGACAGATATGTGTGATACGGGTCTGCGAGGATAGCCCTGGTTAGTGATAGGATAGGTGGCAGATATACCAATACGAACCTGAACGCTCGCCAGGGGCCTTGGATATCCCACCAAATTTGAACTGACAACTTGCGAGGAAGCCCGCTAGAGCTTTCTCGTCCACAAGATCACCGGCACCCAGTATCTGAATAGTGGCGTTAGAAGGCAGCGTGGAATGGAGATCGTAGTGAGATCACCTTCAGAGATGCTCCGCACCAGAAGCAGTAGCACGCATCAGCAAGTTTATTCGTCCTCCCGCAGAAACCGCCAGAGGGCGTCTGGTTCTGCACTAGCCACCGTATGGTGCGTGCGCGTTCTTGCGGAAGCAATCGGCTGGCTAGGGGCGAGCTCTCTGTTTCAGGAGCGAGGTGCAGAGCGGCGAGGGCGCAGTATGTAGTCCCTCCTGCAAAGGTTACTTAGCCTCTGCTGAGCGTAAGGGCGATTTAGTGCTCACCAAGTGCCTCGCCGTTTGGTGTCTGTCCGTAACCTCCTTCATAGCTCTGCCCATGTCAGATAGTGCATCCAAATGAGAGTTTATGGTAGTCTCACATAACAGTTCCGAACGTAGGCGACAGCACGATCCATGTCAATGCCGGACCAATCGTCAAGCATGCTGCTAATCACAAATGCGCAGTAGAGCATTCTTAGGTCCGATTCTCCGCCGTTTGGTAGCGCAGAGAAGCTGTAACATGATGATGGGGTAAGTGGTTCAACCGCATGGGGAAGACGCTAACTGGCGTACCTTCCGTCCGCTTGTTGACAGGCCCGCAGGAAGCGGATGATCCCGGCTCTGTCGAGCTTGGAGAAGTCATCACGCAAGATAGAAAGAGATGAAAGTGCGGTGTACGTCATCACGAGATGCGGGAGATCGTACTCGGACGTGGTGCCCTGGGATATGGCGATCGTTCAATTGAGAAGGTAATAACGCGATGGGCACACTTACAGAGAAGTCCTCAGGTGTCATGAACGGGCTGGGCCTAAATCCGGTTCCAAAGGGTCCGCCTTTGTGAGCGATTATTATGCTGGACAATAAGTAGAAGAATGTGTGACGAACAGATCTGCTGCTCCCACAACCAACTTCGCCAGCTTTCACGGTCGAGGTCGCTAGATTGCTTTTCCAAATGACCAAGAACGTCAAGTGTGCCAAGGCAGTAGAATACAACAGCTATTCTGAGAATGATTTCGATTGGTGTCTCGGCAGAAGACTAACACGAAGCGCACCTTGACGGATCGATCTCTACTTGGCTGAAGGGCAGAGCTATGAGACATCTTTTGCAGTGTGCTGCGTGGCCTCCCTTCCCAAGTGTAATCGTTTCCGACATAGAGCAGACTGCAAGCACAGTAAGACAGTACAGTGAGGGTCGTATGCCAAAGAGCCGTGCTGTCGCTCCACTCGGGTGGAAGGTAGCGCTCATGATCTGATCGGGGGGCCGATAGCTTTGGAATCTAACATGTACAAACACCCTCAAGCTCCTCCGAGCCGACGCTTCGTCAACTCTGCTATTTTACTCTTTTGTCCATTCGCAGCCCAATTCTCATCATGTCAAAACACGTTCACGAACATCGACATCTTAGGGTCTTCTATAATTGTCCTTGGTTTCTCTTCCGGGCTAGCATGGCAACGCAAACATGAATGAGGTGGCGAAGGTCTTCGAAAACTAGCCTTCAATGGTCGTAATATCCGTATGCCGATAGTTGTCGCAAGTACATATTCGATCTCTGTTGCTCACGAACACGTCTCCTACTTCCTCAGCTACTCTTGACTGTCTAGACTTCTCCAGTCCCTACGATATCGATGGAACACTCTCGACTCCCACTGGATGTTTGTCTCGAGATCATCGATGCAGTGGCAGTCGACCCAGAAGCGAACAGTGCCACTCTGGCGGCATGCGCCCTCACAACGCGATCCTGGCTCTCGAGGGCACGGTTCGGTCTATACAAGAAAGTGGTCTTGCGTGGCAACAAGCAGTGCCTCACATTTTCGCGGGCGCTCCTGGACTGCTCGGCACTGGGCCCCCTGGTCCATGACCTCATGTTATTTTCAGTGTGGACCCGCTGGGACCGAGATTCTCCCACAGGCCAGTATGACTCGGACCCATTCCCGCTACAAGCTGTGCGCAAGCTGTCCAACCTGAAGAATATGACATTCGAGTTCAACGGCGGGGAGGTCATTCCCCCCAATCCCATCATCCCTTTCTTACGGGAGGTCGCATCACGTCCATCCCTTCGGACGCTCGGTCTTGGCAGCTTTACCTTTCATAGCGTCGACGACCTCGTCGAGATCCTTGCGGCAGGTCCACATTTGATGAGCGTCTTCGTCGCCGCATGCATCTTCAACTGCGAGTTCAGCGAGGGTATCAGCCGAGCCGCCTTCGCGCCCGAATACTGCAGAGACCTGCGCACAGTGGTGGTGAGTTCAGCTTCGGTATGGGTCTGCTCATATCGTAATCTGATGCCTTTCGTTTCGCATGTAGTTCACGGACAACGAGAAGATGGACCCACTGCTTCGCGCACTACCTTCTCCGTCCGATATTACCAATTTGACTCTGGGTCCGCCTTGGCGCGAAACCGAACCAGATTTTCAGCAGTACTACGAGGGTGTTACCCTCAACGATTTTCTGGGTACGGTGCATGTTTTGTACACGGGTCGACATTTGATGCTGACTTGGCCACTGCCCACGATGCACAAGATCTGCCTAATTTCACCAGGCTGAAGAATCTCGTCCTTCTGGTTGTGGACACGGGCACATGGGTTACGGGCGCCCTCGCCATGGTCCGCTCTCCCGCCCTTCAAGTGCTCTCGCTGTTCTGTTGGTGCGAAGAACTGGATTCGAACTGGGGATCGGTCGTGCAGGACATGGATCTTCCTCTGCAAGACATCGACGCGTTGCTGTCGGAGGCCCCATTTCTGGGCCTCCAGCGTATCTGTGTGACCGTGTTCTGTCGTGAGCCTGCGGTTCGGTCAGACGACAGCTCTAGCAGCGAGGCCGAGGATTCTACCGTCGACGCCCCGAACGACCCCGAACAAGACGGGTCGGTTTCGGACGGTCAGGCCGGAAGCTCCCCAAGCAGTAGCAAGGAGCGCGCAGATGCGGTGGACGGCCCTACACATGACGGCGTTTGGTTTGAGCAGCACGTTCGGAAGCACATGCCGAGCTGCCACAAGCGCGGAATCCTCGAGGTGCATGCCAAAGTACGTGCTCCTGTTGTGTTTGAATAGTTGGCATGAGCCCCTTCACTGAGTTCTTTCCCCGGTTGTTGCAGATGGGCTCTTGGTCTCCCATTCCTTACAGCATCGAACCCAGACTTTTCGAGTATCAACCGGAGTCACGGCGGGCTCTGCACCTGGATCAGAGCATCTAGGCGTGGCTTCAGGGTAGCCGTCGCTGCGATCGACCGCCTGACGAACGGTTCCCGCTGAACGCGCAGCGTCGTTAAGTAGGCAGTCAATAGTTTATTCCTGTGCAGTAGTAATGAGACGCTCCGTATGTGTATCGACCGAAGATGAGACATGTGTTCTGGTTCCCAGACGACAGCAGGTCGTGAATGGTTAGGTTCAATGATTGAAGGTGGCCGGCTGGGAGTTAATGAAGGAGATCTGCTCGGCGCGGTATGTGTCCGGGATGATAGTCGTGTTGCCTCCTTGTAGTTGCATGACGACCTAAAGAAGAGATGAAGATCGCAATTCTCGACGGCGCGAAAGGTACCTACCTGGCTCGACGAGGTATACTGCAGCCATTGAGGACCTGTTTGCGCGATGCGCGTCAGCTACCATGTACAGTTGCACTCATCCTTGGAAGTGGTACGCACGATCATTGCCCTTTCCGTCGTTCGGGTCGAGTGAGGTCGCGAACGAGATCCAGTAGTCCTTCATGGTAGCACTCAAAGTGCTGGCAGGTGCAGCTCCGGGCGCCCCAAACACGTATGACAGCTCAGCACCGTGAGCCACTGCGGACAGGAACAAACATGAGTCCTCGCCGTCAGTACGAGCACAGGGCACGACTCGCCTCCTTGCGACGGATTTCCCGCAGCCTGAGGGTCAGTGAACAAATAGGCGAAGACCGGGACACCCTGCGCGCTCGCCGCTTGGTTCCACGCGCGGCGGATGGAGTGGAACCAGATGTCCCCGGCGATGGAGGCGGCGCGCTTGTACTCGCTCCCGAGACCGAACGTGTTGCTCCCAGTGCCGTATGGAGATCCTTGGGAAGGGTCGTCGGGGTACAGCTGGATCAAGTCGTCGATCTGCGTCTGCTGCGCTGCGGAAGCCCCGCCGGCAGGATTAACGAAATTGTCGAAGAACTGCGTGAGCTGGTCATCCGATGACAGAGTCGTTGACACAAATTGAGTGCCTATAGACGATCTGAGTGGAAGATTGAAAACACAATTAGTGCAACGCACCCTCATCCAGATTGCTACCAGAGATGAAGGGGAGGCGCGAGAACTGGCCGGCAGCAAGCAGCGTCGAGGGGAGGTCGGGAATGACCCCGCCCGCGCCGTCGATAACAGGTGTCCAAGGGAACTGCTCTCCAGCCTGCCCGGACGCGGAACTTTGTCCGCTGACGATGGCGGTGATATCGGCCTGCCGGAGGCAGTCGAAGGTATCGGTGGAGCTTGCGCCCGAGCACTGAGGGACGGCCGCGACGAAATTCTGCCAGTCCTGGTCTCGGTGAGCCCCGGGGAACATGGGTAGCGAACTCTGTGCGCCCGACTCGAAGATCTTGAACAGGCATGAGCTGATAGCAGGGATTATCAACTGGTGGAGTCCACGTACCGCTGCGCGAACGAGGCTCTCCAGATTCGAGTTCAGGAACAGGTTCGCGACGGCGATAGACCCCGCGCTCTGTCCGAATATGGTGACCTGCCACATGGTGTCAATGAAATCGCCCTATGATCTTTTTGGGGTGCTTCCTACCTTGGCGGGATCGCCTCCGAAAGCCGCAATATTCTGTTGTACCCATTCTAACGCCGTAAGAATGTCTTTGAGACCCAGGTTGAGGGCACCACGCGACGTCGCCTCTTGGCCTTGTGGGAAGCCCAACACGCCCAAGCGGTAGTTGAGGTTGACGTAGAGGAAAGGTGTCCCCTAGAGTCGGCCCTGAGTACAGAAGTAACGAAAGGTGAACAAGACAAGCTGACCCTGTTTATTCCGGCGATGGCGAAGCCGGTGCCATCATACCCCGATGCATCACCGGCTGTAGGAGCGTCAGTAAAGCGAGCGGACATCATCGGAAATGTACGCAGAGAGCGTACGCACATTGGAAGCCTCCGCCGTAAATCCACACCATAACCGGGAGGCCTGCCCCAGATGCCGTACCGACCGGCCGGAGGACGTTTATAGTCAAGCAGTCCTCGACGGGGTTCGAAGACTGGGGAGACGTTCAGCAGCGGTAGATATCAAATTTTGTAGCAAAAACTCACGCCGCCGACAGGACACGAGGGGCCATATGCACTCGCGTCGAGGCTTGCGACGCCTGGATCGGCCTTCAGCACTGGTGGTGCGAACCGTAGTTGACCAACAGGTGGTTCGGCGTAAGGGATACCTTTGAGAACGGCACTAGGTCAATATAACCCCCTTGACGGTGAGGAAAGCTCCCTACTTCCAAAGAACTCGGTTTGGCCAGTGTTCTGGGTGCCAACAATTGTGGTGCTCCCAATCGTGACCTGGGGAGCCGCCCGACATACGACAACGAGAACAGCAGCAACTGCTGAGGAGGCAAGACGCATCGTCTGAGCTAGGTGTATTTTGAACGAGGAAGTGAGTGCGTCCAGAGGGTGAGGATTGAATCAATCCAGCGACCGCGTTGTGCTTATATCCACCGTCGGTAAGGGTCTCATAATCACGACGAAACATGACATAGGACGGATTCAGCACGATGCCGAGACCGAGGCCGTCCGCTATGACAGCCAAAGACTACGAGGTTCGGTTGACGACCCTGGCAAGGGGTATCTCGCTTATGCGTCAGCGCTGAACGCCTCAGGCGAGAGCTGCTAGACCTGGAGTTTGAGCCAGATGACATTCGCGTACAATGCATGAGGGCTGGAAAGGCGTAGCATCAGAGTCGTTTTCAAGCTTCACAGTGGGGTATCAATGTACCACCACTTATTGAGATGTCTTACCTGAAGTCCGCGGTGGGAGCGCTCCGAGCCGGCAAGTTTCCAAGACGACTCGAATCGCGGCCTTGCGAGCCTATGCTAAGTTGTGCATAATATAGTCACGGGTACCTGGTACGTATGTTGTTGGGACATAAAAGCGGCAAGGGTCATCATCGGGTTGTACGGGGCCGTGCGCATGCAACGGACGGCATCCCGTTAACTGATCCGCCCATGAGGGCTGGTATATGTGCACAGGTGTGAAGTCTGCATGGAACCGTCAGCTATGTCGAGACTGCGGTAATTGCACGCGCTGCTTACTGATGATGTTATGCCGTCAGGACATTTGCGAGGCTCTCCGGTGAAGGCATTAGGCATCAGGCACATGAAGCGACGAGAAACAGGGTCGTATGAACCTCATTATAGAACACACACGGCAGAGGGAGTTCAGCTGGGGTGACTATATGCACTTTCGGGAAGATGGAGGAAGGAGCAAATGTTCTTGCCGCAGCGGCGCCTCAAAGGCCTCGGAAGACGCCGGGTCAGGAAAAATCCATATATAGTAAGCGAGTACGTTGACTCATTTGATTGGAAATGGCGCCCGTCGACATCGATTTTGTCTGCAGTTTGTCTTTGCGCAACATCCACATTTCTGCATCGCAGAACTGACCAGAAGAACATGGAGGTACCGCAAAATGACCACACTCACGGCATCGAACAGTATGAGCTATCCTCGATGCAAGACGACCCCGATGCGAAGGGCACTAGCACTCCGGCGACGTACACCCGTTCATCGTCACGAGCCGCCCTCCATTCGCAGGACCCGCAGGAAGGCGCCACCGTTCAGGAGCTGCCCCCAATAGATCGTGGAATCAAAGCATGGACGTTTTGTTTCTCGGCCTTCGTATTGGAGATGATGGTGTGGGGATTCAGCTTCAGGTTGATCTCTCATCTCTCTCCAGCGTAGGAGCTTTTCTAATATTGTCATCGTCCAGTTACGGTATCTTCCAGGGTATGAGGAACAAAAGCTCTTAGGAGTGAATTGCACTCACTCCTTTCAGACTACTATACGTCGCACCCGCCATTTGAGAACTCATCGAGCATTGCCATCGCTGCAGTGGGCACGGTTGCGCTCGCTCTTCAGTATGGAGAGGTTCGCTACGTCGCTTTTCATGCTAAGGAATGAAAACTCACATTACATTAGTCGATATTCCTGTCTTTTGTGTACGGTCGCTACCCCGACTTCATGCGTACAGGCATGTGGGCAGGCTTGCTACTCTACTTTATCTCGCTATTTTGCTCCAGCTTTGCGACAGAGGTCAGTGTCGGATATACTTCATAAAGGGAGAAGCTTACTGATAACGCATGCAGGTCTGGCAATTGATTCTCCTGCAGGGCGTTGGTGTCGGCATCGGAGGCGGACTTCTGTACATGCCTGTGATCCAGCTCATCCCAGAGTGGTTCTCGGAACGACGCGGGCTTGCGGGAGGTATTATCTTCGCAGGAACCGGTCTTGGAGGTCAGATTTTTCTCACAGTGCTGGAGGTAGTGTACTGACTCTGATTTGCAGGTTTCGTATTCCCCTTCGTCCTGAACGTTCTTCTGGACAAGGTCGGTCTGGGCTGGACTTTGCGCATCTGGGCAATCAGCACGTCGCTCTTCTCCGGGATCGCTCTACTTGGCATGCGCAATCGACTCCCCGTCCCCAAATTCACCGCTCTTAACCGGCGGCCTCGCTTCATCCCCCCTCACATCGGTTTTGTCAGGAACCCGTTATTCTGGACTTTTGTAAGCGGTTGATCCACCGCCTCACTCAGATATATACACTTACCACGAGGGTCACCTCAGGCGATCACGAACATGCTGCAAGGGCTGTCGTACTTCCCTGTATCGCTATACATCGCCACCTTCACCCGAAACGTCGCCAACCAGCTGACGGCGACCATCGTTCTGGCCCTGTTCAACTCGTCGGCCGTCGTGGGTCAGATCATCATGGGCCACCTCTCTGACCGCTTCCCATATCCTTCAATCATGGTCTTCAGCGCGGTGGGCAGCGCGCTCTCGGCGTTCTTCCTCTGGGGCTTCGCCGACGCAGCGATCTTCCTATACTTCTTCGCAGTCATCTTCGGCGGCCTCGTAAGTACTACCCATCTGTATATGCAAGAGAACCACGGTGCTCACCACACGTATCGCAGAGTGGAGGTTTCTCGTCTACCTGGCCGAATGCGGCGGTCGAGTCTGTCGGGGGCCAGGTCGAATACGCCGGCATGTCCTTCGCGGGCACCGCGTTCTTCAAGGGCATCTCGGCGGTCATCGGACCAGTCATATCAGGTCTTCTGCTTCAGAGCGGGAACGGCGCGTCTCTGGGAGGCGGGTTCGGCAAGTTTGGGTATGGCGCGGTCGAGATCTTCGTCGGGTCCTGTGCTCTCGCGACTGGGGCGGGGAGTGTCGCGGTCGCGTTCGCGCGTCGGCGGGTGCAGCCTTGATCTTCCGCATACGTACTAGGGTGATATATAGTCAAAAAATTTGTAGAGTATATACGGGCACATTAGAAGTTACTTTCTCAAACGCTTTAAGCTCAAGCTTGTCCTTCATCGTCTTGAAGGAAGAGGACCAAACGACCGGCGCTAACCTGGGCGCAGCTAACGCCTGACGGCCGATCGGGCCGGGATCTCCGAAAGGATCGCCAACCCCAGCGCGGGCGTGACGCCGACAGTGGCACTGGGGGCCCCAAGCTTTCCGAGCGCGTTCTCTTCTCCATCGTGCTACATGTCTTCCTCGTCGCCCGCTGCGACATGCAGACCGTCTGGTTTCCTATCCCTGTCGCTGCTCTCTTCCGCCGCATCGTGAACGTCGTCGGCACGCTCTCCATCTCGCACCACTACCTCCAGCAACCGCCCTCGGAGAAGGAGCCCCGACGTACTCATTCTACGTTCCACGCCCTACAGTGGCCTGCGTGGCTGGCCAAACCGGAGAGACCATGGACGCTGTCATGGACGGATAGGATGGGGGCGCAGGTCGCGTCGCAGGGGAGCGATGTCAGGGAGCCTCCACGCCGAACAGCTGCTCCGGCCAGGCTACGGCGGAACGACCAGATCCACCAACTCATCAGCAACCCCGCCTTGTACGAGCCGGTCAGAGCACCGAGGTACCCTATTGTTCTATGCCACGGTAAGTCGCGTAAAGAATCAGTTTGACGCCTTTACGCGGTATCCGTGCCCAGACTTCCGCTGGAAGAAAACCCGCTATACTTCTGCACTGTTGCTGACAAGCGCTTTACTAGGTCTCTACGGCTTTGATGTGCGCGGTCCATCCTCAATTCCTATTCTGCAGACGCATTACTGGTCGAATGTGCTGAACGTACTGCGCGGTAAAGTCGGTGCCGAAGTACTAATGACCTCTGTGCCTAGGTGAGCGTTTTCGGCTCCGTGTACGAAGCCTATTCTCATATCATCCCGCAGTACTGGCTCGATCTCATCTCGTGCAGACAATCTGGACCGCTTCCTGCGCGAGAAGGCACCAGGGAGAGGCGTAAACTTCCTTGCACATTCCATGGGCGGACTGGACTGCAGGCACCTCATCAGCCATTTAAAACCCCAAGATTACACTCCGCTGTCGTTGACCACCATTGCGACTCCCCATAGAGGTAGCCCCTTCATGGACTGGTGCAGGGTGAGCATACACTCCAATGCTCTGTCGGCGGTTCTTGATATATCCCTCTGCAGCAATACATCGGACTTGGCAGGCACAAGGTCGATTATCCTGGTCAGGTTCAGCGCGAGGCCTTGGAGACGTCACCCAACTCAGAACCTCAAGATGCTCCTGCCAGCCCGCAGAGCAAGTCGATACCTGGTGTGAAGTCCCTGCTGTCGCTCGCCTCCCTCCCCTCATCCTTCACCACCCTACTCCTCTCCCTGCTCGACTCGCCCGCATATGCCCACCTCACCTCCACCTACCTCAACACCATCTTCAACCCCGCCACGCCCGACGATCCCTCCGTTAAGTACTTCAGCGTCGCCGGACGAACGTCCAACATGAGCATCTGGCACCCACTGTGGTTGCCCAAGATGGTCATGGACGGATTTGAGGAGAAAGAGCGCGCACGTCTGCGTGACGCCGGACACCCGCTCGCAGACGCAGACGGAGAGTGGGGCAACGACGGACTCGTAACCATCCAGAGCGCGCGCTGGGGCGAGTTCCTTGGCGTGTTAGAGGGCTGCGACCACTGGGAGATGCGCGGCGCGCGGGGTATCGACGTCGACCTGCCGTCAATACCGGGGCCTGAGGAGTGGAACTTCGGGGACTGGGGCAGGTTCGTGCGCGCGTGGAAGAAGGAGGAGAAGGCGGCGGCGAAGAGTGCGGGCGCGGGGATGAGCGACCAGGCGCACAGGGAGACAATGGCGGCTGCGGCGAGCCGAAGCGAGGAGGGCGGCGCCGAGAGGGACGTGCGGAGCATGCGCGAGCGCGAGCGGGACCATGGGAATTCGGACGAGGTGGTCAAGAACTCGACGGAGAAGCTGTCGGCGGTGTTCGACTGGATTGTCGACCAGCCTACGGCGCCGAACGCTCCTGAGGCCCTCGCGGGCTCCGAGGACAAGTCCAGTGCGCCTGAGGCTGCCCCAGAGAAGCAGGGGCGGAAGCGGGAGAAGGAGAAGGAGGTGAACGACCTCGAGACGAAACAGGACCTTGAACGCTTCTACGTAGCGCTATGTAGAAAGCTGTATGACGAAGGACTGTGAAGTGCTCGCAGCCTCGTCCACGTCTTGTCGCCGGATCTTTCCTGCCTCACCAGTCTTGAGTGCTTGCTACTGTACACTTGCCAGGCCCTAATGTTCGAGCCCTTGTAGTATCATTCCGACACACGCGCCACGCCATATGCCTGGTATCGCGCGGGCGATGTAATCAATAAATCTCTTCATTCACGTCTGCTTCTCCGAGTAGCCTGGGACATCGACGTTGGGCAGTGGCCCGACAAACCACTTCCGCGCAGACAACACCCATGAGCCTCCCGCGAAGACGAACACTGCCAGAACAATCACTGACGCATAGTCTGCGGACATTTGATCAGAGAAATGTCAACAAATGTAAAGCAAGGGGGACGCACTCATCTCTGCCGCGTTCACCCTCTGACTGGGCGGAAAGCACAGCAGGACCACGATGAAGGACACCCATACAACAGAGACCGCACCAATGGGCATGTACCACCGCCCAAGGCTGAAAGGCCCAGGGACGAGCTTATCTCGTCCAGACGTGATCCTGAGGAAAATCGGAGTCGCGTAGGAGGTGTACAGCCCGACGACCGATGCGCTGTCCGTCCCAGCGTCAGCGGCAGAAAGCGCACATACGCAGCGGCACGTACCCAGCGAGCGAATTGAACGCGGTGGCGGAGAACCCGAGGAGCCCGCAGAGCGCGGAGAGGGCGATGACGAGCCAGACGGCGTTGACGGGCGTCTGGGTGTACGCGTTCACCCGTTTCCACCAGCGCGAGCCCGGCAGCGCGTTATCCCGCGCGAATGCGAACACAACGCGAGACGCGTCCACGCCCTGCGCCGCCCCGCACAAAAACTACACGCCCGTCAGCGCCCAGCAATCGCGCCAGCCGAGCGAAAAAGGACGCACCTGCGCGATGATGGTGAAGCTCCAAATCGCGAGCATGCCGCGCTTCCCGAGGACGTCGAGCAGCACCTGGCCCATCGGGAGCGCGAGGTCCGTCTCGAGGAGCGCCGGCACGGAGACGGTTGCGAAGGACACGGCGATGATGAGCAGCCAGCCCATGCCCCCGACGGCCGCGACGGAGGTGAGGATCGCGATGGGCGCGGCGCGCGCGGCTCCCGCGACTTCTTCAGATATGTGTGCGGCGGAGTCGTCTGTGTGTGCATCCCGGATTAGTTGGTGCGTGAGTGAGAGAGAGGAGGGGGAAGGGGGGGGG